ATGGTTAGGACAGGGAGCTCCTGGCTGACTCCTGGCTTTTAGTTTTTAAGGGTAAGTGTCAATTGTCAATCTGCTTGTAACATGGTCATATGGACAATTATTAATGTCTGGCGGTAATGCTGCAGTACAAGCTATTGGACTAGAGGAATGTTGATATACATGAGGGTAAGGCATATGCCAGGACAGGCTGGCTGGTGGCTGAGTGGTGTAAGGGGTGAGCTCCGTCAATCAATGTTGTAATTTCATGCTTGTCTGGATGGTGTGTTATGTTTGTGCTATTTTTTATTTACAGTTTTCTCAGATGTACATGTAGTCCTGAGGTCATATCAGATTACAAATATTTTTGCAACATTGTGGTGTTCTTCTTTCAATCATATCTCGACGTTAACAAGGACATCGTTTAGAGCAATTTTATTGCTTCAGCAAATTTGGTTCTTCTGGCATGTCTGTGGGCAGTTTTAAGTAGGTCAGACTTTTCTCCACATGTCAGTACCTTCCCCTTCCCTTATCTATGAGATCCTGACCTTTACAGCAGAACAGGTGCAGGGGTCAGGGAGGGGGAGGGGGGATATTTCTGTTGATTTATTTCCCTCATGATATACCCCATTAGCAGCCTCTGCTGGGCCTGTTTATCCAACACCCACCCCCTGTCATAACCCTGCCCACTCTCATAACAGCCATGCTTTATGTGTTTATATAGGGTGTATTATAACCGTACAAGCTGGGATATTTCTGTTTTAAAGTGAGTTAAAAAGAAAAACAGTGCTAGTGTGTACCCAATACCCTCCTCACTTCCTGCTTTAATATTTAAGGGTTTATACATGTAGCTGTCAACTACATGTACAGGCACTACTGTATACATGTATAAACAAACATCCAAGAATATTGCTATAATACTACATTGAAATGTCAAAATTCAAACTTATATTGACGCACAATTCCCAGCAAACCTTTTGCTGAAAAATTACTTTATTTTCACCTCCATCCTTAACAGTTATCAGCTTCAGCCTAGTTCAGGCTTTTTCTCTCCATTCCAGATTAATTTTCTGCTCCACTTCCCTACCAGCTTGTTTCTCTGTGCTTTATTTCCTGGAAGGCTGACGACTATTAATAGAGGTTTTGCTAATGTAGCGTGGAGCATGCCAGTCGTGCGGACGGACGGCATGTTTCGTGCTACGCCCTTCCTACATCTCTGCCTGTCCTCTCTCTCTCTGACAGGCTGCCCTTTTGGCTAAATTGGTCCCCCGCTAAACAGAAGTTGGCGCTGCGCTCTGCCCACCACTTCTGCTGCGGGCAAGAGGCGTGTCACAGGTCAGTATGGACCTCGCTTCTTTCGCTGGTGGCTTGAGTAATAAGTCACGCCGTGTCTCGCTCCTAACTAAACTACCACCGTGCTCTCCATTTGGGCTGTTCCATTCTGAATCTGACAACTCAAGGAGGCAGAAAATGTTTTATTTATTATTCCTTTTACATTCTGTTCTCTTCGTCTTGTTCTGTGTCATTTTTCATCTCTTTAAGACAGTGGGTTTCTTGAGTTAAGTTAGTCACCATCCGATGCCACCACGCTTCAAATACACCTTGCTCACATCAAGTACCATAAATTCTCCCTCCCCAAAAATCAAAATGGAACAGCCTGTAACTCTTCTATCCACCAGCAATAATGCAGCAGCTTTCCATCCTTTGACCTTTGCCCTGCCCACCTGTCCTAATGATCCTATCATACATTCATTGCTGTTGTATGTCAGCTTGTATGACTTTCTTATAATGTGCTGTTTTCACCCCCTTGTGCCTCGTTCACTTGCTCCTTGCTATGGTTGATGGGTTTGGGATGGGGTCTGGCCATAAAAGGACTTGTGATGTATTTCCTGGAATGGGATTGGGATGGGGTCTGACCATATAAGGACTTGTGATGTATTGCCTGGAATATATGACCCTCAATGTTTATGTGGGAGAGAACATGGCACTGTGGAGTGGGCAACAATTTTTGAGGGTTGACATATCTCCACAGTTTACATGGTGGCTTACATGGTAACCCGTGTTTAAACTTTAAAATAAACAATCACTCATTAGATATGTGTTTTAATTCAAGTTAATTATCAGGGTACATTAAGTAAACGTGATGACCATAGTATCAGTAGTCCAGATCGATTTCACCAGTTGTTACTCCAAGTAGTTAACCCAGTACAAGACTAACTTTTAAAGGTCCATGGCATGATGTTTTTTTTTCCATGTTTTGATAGGTCATATTACATGTATATTTACGGTGGTTACTGTTTCTTTATGAGAACAGCAATCCTTAGAGAAACAACTGACATCTGGAAAAACTCGATAAGCCAAGTCTTGATCCTCCTTTAGTTCATGTACACCTTTAGGATGGAGATAAAGCTGATGACAATCAATGGTATTGAGTTCTCTGCTTACCGTGTGTATAATGTATCTGTTCCCCTAACTACTGCTGACGTGTGTAGGAAACCATGTCGTAATCTCTGTACTGCATCAGTGGAAAATCCCTCGCTAGGGAAGGTCTGTGTTCAGGTTCTGGCAGTGAAAGTGTTATTTTACGCCCATGAGAATGGGGAGACGTGTAGTTTATGACTCTATTGGGGTCATGGCTGGCAGAGATGCAATTATAAGATTTTATTGTTGAACTAAAATGAAGATGGAACTTTGTCTAGTAAGCTATACTATCAACAGTGTGGAGCTGTTACTGACAGTAGTACAATTTTCATGTTCAATTTTCTTTGCATAATGATATGATATATATCTTGTCATTGAATGATTGATTATGTGACTGTATGTTATTTTGAGGCCTTTACCAGTGCTCAATGGTATAAAATTTAATATAACTGTAGTTCAAGTTGGTTATGATTTGAAATCCTGTAATCGTGCAATTATTCATGGAGGTCCTTTAATTTCCGGCTAAGACCAAACAGTTAGACCCAGTGTCATTACACAAACATGATTCCAGGCCAGGGTTTGTGCTAATGGAATATTCCGCTGCCAATCTGTTTAGATACAGCCTTCATTCAGCTCCATTTGAATTTTGTATTGACCTTTCCATATGGGTGCACTCTGGCAGATTGGCAATCAGCATTCTGTGTCAGAGGATGTCATCGTTTACATTCTATGCAAATCAAGTGGTGGTAAATGGTTTTATTTTGGGATGTGCAGGTGTACAGTGTTGTTCATGTATGTCTGATAGTTTCACTGCTCCAAATTTGTGTCTAGGTGCCTTCAAAATTGCATGGAGCCATGTTGGCAGAAAATTGATAATCCTGCGATTTGGTAGATACCCAAAACCTGACTTTCACATTTTTTATGATATTAAACATTTATGGCATTAATTATTACATTTCTAAACCTTATTTTTTAATAGATTTCCTTAAACAGAATGTCTAATTCTTAAGTATCATTATGATAGTAGATTCCTCAGATTGCTGCATGTGGCAGGTGGTTTTCCTGTGTCCTGGTTAAACATCATCAGATATTCCTGCAGACTTCTCCATTTGGTAATCACCATATCTATTCCCATAAGGTCCCATGTATGATGGTGGATTATAATCATGTCTATTATCTATCGGGGTCAGGGCTGTGCAGGGGAGCATAACAACATCAGGAGCTCAAGCATACCAACAATAAATAATAATTTCTATGAAATAATAAGGTTTACTCTAACTTACTTATACTGTACGTTTACTGCAGACTGATTTTTGAATCCAGTTGATTACAGTAACTTGTTATAGCCAAACTACAGGTTTTACACTTAAACCTCTTCTGACAGGAAATTTTTACCAGCCTCTAAACATCAACTTATGGCCTGTCCCTCAAGCCCCTCACAAATTATAATTCTATGAATATTAAGGTTTAATCTTATCCTGTTTGAGCTAAGCAAATAATTTTATGGTCCATTTATATCATATTCTGAAGCCTTGTGCTCAAATAAAACCCTTGCTTTATGACAGCACTGAGAAGGGAAAGCTCCCAGTTGAGCCCGTATGGCCGATCCCTCATAACCCTTATAAATATGAACAGGAATTAATCGAATGATGTTTACTGGAACTGCTTCTCAGGTAAGGTGCTGTCAGTTGTCAATTGCTCCAATCAATTTCCTGTAAAACCTTGTAAGAATGATGATGAGCAGTTTTGGAGGGGCGGTACTTGTTACAGTTGGTCGTGTGAGAAAACCTGGTGCTTCACTTTTGGCAAAAGATGACCTCTTGCTGCACCTGTGAAAATTAATGGTTTCTTTGGCTGTTGAGTTGGAAAAGGTAACCCTGCGATGGGGCCGTCAGGGGGGAACAGATACGGCTGTAGAACGCTTGTGCTGTCTATCATCGCTAATGCATTTGTCGTTCAGGGAAATTATGGGCGGGGAGCGTAACGCGAGAAAGCGTTGGGGCATCACGACGTTCCCTGCCGTGGGAAAGGGAGAGGGATAAATGGGTGTGTGAGAGGAAAGGTAATAACGGAGCTGTGATGTGAGATGCTGGGCTGGATCTATCATGCGTGTGTTGCTCCTGGAACCGTCACATATGTACCGATGTCCCTGGCACTAGCAGCAGTGGGAGATTTAGATAAACAACTGTGAGAGTCGTAATTGGAGTATCCAGGCTGGATGGTGGGTTTGTAGAGCTTATGATCATAGGTATATATGCTGATGTCCCTGGCAGTGGGAACAGGAGGTAGATTGAGGGAGGAAGCAGGTAATGTTTGGTGTACTATGGACCCATGTCGTAACAGGAGGACCTTCATGTGCACTGGTCTGTAGCTGAAGTCCCTGGGACTGTGGTTAGAGTGAGGTTGAACCTGATGGGGAACCATAGATTGCAGGAATGGCTATTTTAGATTACAATTATGACAAATTTCTGTTGTTATCTTCAGTAGATGTTTGTAAACTGTTGTTCATTGAGGTGTGACTAAATAGCTCATTAGCAGACGGTGTTTTGTCTGTTGTTTCTTGAGGTGTGATACTGACCTTGTGTTCTCTGTTTCCTCTGCAGCCCTCGGCCAGCATTAGTAGGGAGTGAGGGAGACACCGTAGTCCAGGCTGAGGTAGTAGAGGGGACATCCGCACAGGGGACGACCTCGCCTTCATCCAACTTTGATAGGGAGTTCAAAGGTCAGGAGCGTAAGAAGTCGCTGAAGCGTATCCAGCAGGAGGAGGATGCGATCAAGAGGTCACGGTCGGTGGGCAGCGAGTACGAACTCTCGATCGACCTGCAGCACAAGCAGATCGAACTCTTAGAGCGGAAGTACGGCGGGCACTTCATCGCTAACCGCGCCGCCCGAGTCATCCAGCGGGCTTTCCGCCACTACTGCATGACACGGAACTTCCAGAAGCTGCGGAATGCGCAGCTGGAGAACCGGATGTCCCGGAGAATCGACTGGCAGACGCTGCGACTCTCCACCATAGAGGTGGACGACGATGTCGGCTCCTCGCTAGGCAGAGGGGTGAAAGGTCACGGCGCTGGTTCTAGGTCCATGACAATGCCGGCCGTAGCAGAAATTCGAGAGACTTCGTTACTAGATATGCCCGAGGAGCACATGACTCTGACAAACGTGCTGGGTGGAGCTGCTGGTTCTCGCAGTCGTGTTTCGAGCGGGAGCATGTCTCGCCAGGACAGTTATCGCCTGGCTGTGCACCCCGACTCAGACCTGAGCCAGGAGGCCACACCAGAACACAGCATGTACAGCGCCAGGGAGATGGTCATTCAGGACCAAAGAGCACTGATCGATGCAGACTATGAGATGACACTGTATGTGGAACAGCAGAAACAGAAAGTAAGCTACTGTTTGTTGTTTTCAGAATACTGCAATTCAGTTGTGAAACTACCAGTAAATTGTCAAACTGCTCGTTTAGTTACTTCAAAGCCTGGTGCTGGTCAGTTGAAATTTTTGTTGTGTTGGAAATTCCAGGTCCACCTTGATTGAGACTTGATGTTGAAGCTATGATTGTTTCTCCCCTGTAGGCTGCAGATGGGCACAGCGGAGACAGCGGGATCCGCATGAGCCGGAGCAGCGACGAGGGCAGCGGGTCGGACAGCACTGCCAGCAGGAGCAGCCGCGACCTCAGCGACCTCGGGGAGGTGTCGCATGAAGCCAAAGTCGAGATGCGCCCGGTCCCCAGCGTGGTGGTGGACATGACCAGCCCGGCACGGATGTCTCCGGACGCGCTGATGCGCAGGGGCTCGCCTCAGAGTGGGCGGAGGAGCGGGACTCCCGAAGCCTCGCCAGTCTGGAAGCACAAGCAGCTGGGCCGTGTGGTGGCGAATGGGGCACAGCGATCTGCAGGTTCGGACGTGTCGGACGGAGACAACGACAGCCAGGGTAGCAGCTCGAACACGCCAGACAATATGAGCCTGTCGAGCGAAACCATCAGCCTGAGTGGGTCCAGCTCGATCCACGGTGTTTATAAGGGCATGTCACGGGACTCCGCTGTGTTTACCCCCATTAACGATGTACAGAGGAAGAGACAATACAGAATAGGCCTCAACCTCTTCAACAAGTAAGGATAATGCTTAACACTCCATTGAACATATCTTGAAATGCAGAGAAAGAATCAGTACAGAATATGTAGCTTGGCCTCTTGACAGTCAAATTTGTCTATAGCTGTGAAAGTTGTAAGAGAAGTAAGGATATCATATTGCCACACTTTCTTAAATGAAATGTGAAGCTATTCTGTGCAGCCAGTTATAGGCGTGTAGATTTAGGGATTCCAAGTTAAAAAGTGTAAGATTTCTTGCCAGTTTTTACCGGATAGTCCAGTTCTGCATACTGTAGTTGCAATTTTGTTATAACTGATAAATGTGTAATCTCATGTGCATGTTTCCAACTTTTCCTTCTGCTTGAAAACAAAAAGAAGGACATCATGCAGCACACTCCTTAAGTTTCCTTGAAATGTTCTTAAGGTTTCTGTCTTGACAACTTAGGAAACCAGAGAAGGGCATCGCATACCTTGTGGATAAAGGCTTCCTGCAGCACACTCCTCAGGCAGTGGCTAAGTTCCTGCTGAGCAGACGTGGTCTCAGCAGACAGATGATCGGGGAGTACCTCGGCAACTGTCAGAAGGACTTCAACAGAGATGTTCTGGAGTGAGTAGTGAAATTTATTTACAGAAGGTACAAATGTACCACCAAAACAGGACTAGACTGCACAGTAGGAAAAGACTTTCTAAGGCCACATCTGGTTAATGATTAATTTGCTAGCTCTTGGTTTTAAAAAATACTGGAAGATCATTATTACTATGGAAGCAGAGCATGAGCGGAAGTCTGTACCTTGACAAGGTTTGAAACATTTCTTAAGGTAAGTTTTTCACTCAGTGACTGAAGGCCAAAGCTAGGTCGTCCATCAGCATTTAAGGTTGGCCCAGTGCTTTTCTACTTTTAAAAAGTAGGAAAGCAATGAGGACCATTTGACTAGCTAAATCAGGTACAGTGAATGAAGGATGAGAGTACTTCAAAAGGAAGGTTAGGTGGATCTTCCAAGAAACACACTACAAGAGGTCCAGAATTAGAAATCACCCTCTACTCTAGTATGTTAGTTACACAAGATGCATTTATGTGTTATACAACCTACCTTCTTGTGAAAATCTCGAACAATGATTTTGATAAATCTTCTTTCTCCGAATTTGATGAAGTTTACACCTTAAATCAGGAGAATTTGTGTACCAGAAACATTCCCAGTGGTTTCCATTGTGCTGTCCTGGCAGATTTAGTGCTTGGCCCTGCCCTACACCACTCAATACTGCTGTAAATCCTGCTTATTTATTTATCTACCGGAGAGGTGTACATGGTAGAGGGTAATGGTGGGCAGGACTTTGCCATAACTCAGGAAAAATGATCCATATTTTATCCTCCCAACACTGGGGATGTGGAGTTTGGGGCATCAATTTTCAGATTCAAGTTCACCATGTTTGAAGTACATACATTTCAATGACGTGATAAACTTTCACTGTGTTGTGAAAACAGTATATTGCTTTCTTTTTTGTTATGGTAAAAGATAATTTTTGTCATGGAACCAGGATATTGCACATGCGTGGTTATGGTTACATATTTAGATCACCGAATAATATCTATAACGTTACAGATTCCACAAATTGTCTTTTTAGTTTAAGTGACCAGTTCAGTTTTTCCCCCAACATACTAGTATGATTTCCTCTGGGTGTGGAGACCTGCGTCTGTCCAAGGTCTCCCCACGTTCAGACCATTTTCTCCCTGCTAAGTTCAAATGTGCAATTTGGAGGAGAACAGGATTTTCCATCAGAGCCAATAACCAACCAGAGAGCCAATCTCACGGGTAACTCACAGATCCAGGCTGGCTAATGGGATGTGCTTGTCTGGGGAGCTGTTTGGGTTTCAGGCAGTTACAAACCATTTGTTTGGTTCTCAGACGGGATCTACATAGTTACTCACCTGCAACCAAATATTTGTAGAAAAATAGTTGAGATTTCGGAATGGAAATAGCAGGCTGATCAAAAATGTCATAAGCCTCTGTCTGCCTGTGTAGCCCATTCTTTGTTAAAACCAAATGCTAGAGACAAGACTACAAGTAGAACAAGAAGAGTGAATAAAAACTTACACTACCATTTATAACCTCCTGATGCATCCTTTTCAAAATAGAAACATGGTGGGTAGGTTGGGGTTATTTTTGTGCGGCTGTGAGGAGATGGATCGGCCCAAACACAGGATGGAGAATTGATCGGAGCAGCCATCAGATCAGACCGGTCCCAGGTGCAAATAAACCCCTCAATATCAGCAGCAAATTACTGGGCCAGGCCTTTCATGGCATGGCTCCTTTGAACACAAACTGACTTGGAACTACTGTACTTCTCCTCAGGGCTGGAAAGGTGAAGGGCCATGTTGGAGGGCAGGGAACTCCTGCAGGGGGAACTTTGAAGGAGGTTGTTTGAAGTAATATGAGAAAAGAAGAGAGGTTTTTGCAGGCTGAGCCCTTGTTCATGTATCTTGCATAGCCTGTGAAGGTCTCGATCTTTGCTGGCCTAGAACTGTTTGTTGTTTACTGATGTTTATTTATTTGTTTGCCAGCTGTGTGGTGGATGAGATGGACTTTGCTGACCTGGAACTGGATGAAGCCCTGCGGAAGTTCCAGTCCCAGATCAGAGTACAGGGCGAGGCACAGAAAGTTGAGAGGCTCATCGAGGTCAGTTCTAATTTATTCACATTTTTAACACTGCACAATCGTCTGTGTCTACCAAATGTTAGTAAAAATAACCACTTCCACGTGTACATCACTTTTCCAGAACTAGTGCTTTTAGATTTTCTAAACTTTTCAATGATGAGGATTTTCTCTCTCAAGGTAATATTCAAGACATGTTTTACGTGATCCAGTTGAAACAATTTTCTCTCCCAAGGCATTTTACTCAGATATTTCTGAACTACAGTTTTTTCATGATGCCTATTCTAACATCCTGTCTCTCCTGATATTTGCTGAAGGATATTGCAGAGTACGGGTTTAAAATTGTTAACACCCCTCCTCCAGGCGTTTTCTCAGAGATATTGCATCTGCAACCCCAGCGTGGTTCACCAGTTTAACCACCCAGACACCATCTTCATCCTGGCCTTCGCTATCATCATGCTCAACACCGACCTGCACAACCCCAACATCAAACGGGAACGGAAGATGAAACAGGAGAACTTTGTCGAAAATCTTAAAGGTACGTCATCTTAGAACATCCATAGTATCACCAGTCCTTAAGATGATTTGTGCAGAAACATGGACATTCACTTTAGAGCAGAAGAGCTTCCAATTCTTTAAGTGCAAAAAATGGTACCGGCACCTTGTTATCATCAGAGCTCACAGCCCCAATCTTCCTCTGACTTTGATCAAGGCCTAAGTGGAGTGAAAGGTTCCTTGGAGACAAAGAGTCCAATTTCCCCCCCTGCCCTGAGTGAACCTGTGAAGCCAGGTACAGAATGAGGTGTGCACTTGTATCGACCCACAGACATGGGAGAATATTGAACCTGGGGCAGTCATGTGCCCTGCACTTGTCAGGTGTAGATGCTGCATGCCTGTTGGCTGAGCAAGATTTTGATTGACAGGTGTTGTCATGGTGACATTCGGGACTTGAGGCAATGTCAGTCTAATGGAGAGGGCTCTCCATGGCAGAAGTGATCATGATAGGTGTTACATTCTGACATCTGCATCATGGTTGGTGGAGCAGAAGTTAATTGACAGGTGATTGACAGCTGTTGCCATGGTGATTTGCAGGCCTGAACTGAAGGCATGAAACATTATGCTATGGTCTACTTACTTTACTGTACATGTGTTGAAAAAAGGATAGTTCTGTACAGCACTGTACGAATGTGGAGAGGGGGGGAGCTGTTACCATCTTGTATGCAGAAACTGTTACAGTAGCTATTGAATGATGAATGCCAGAATCAATGATGCAGGTTCAGTCATAGATTTTGTGCCACATTGAAAAAAGATGTACAGAGAGAGATTGAGGGAAATGAAAGAGGCATTATTGGGGATTGTAACGGTCTGGCGGGGGCTCGATATGGCATCGATTCAGACCTCCTAACTGATATACATTCTACCCTGGGAATGCAGATGAAGTGAATGATTAAGTGATTGAATGAATGAGAGCCCTGCCTTTGTGTCTGACCTTTGCCCTGTGTTGCTAGGCGTGGACGCGGGTGGAGACATCCCGCGGGAGATCCTGGTGGGGATCTATGAGAGGATATCCAAGTCTGAGCTCAAGACTGGCCCTGATCACGTCACCCAGGTCGCCAAGGTGGAGAAGAACATTGTGGGCAACAAACCAGTGAGTGGACAGATGCTGATATGTTGTTGTTGTTGTCTATGTCGTTGTTATATTGGGTTGGACAATGTTGTACATTACCTCACGTAAATAGCTCATGTATTTGGTTGTGTGTGTTTGGTGTACATGTATTTGATAACTTCACAAGTTATAAATGCATTTTTGGGATTTATACTTTTTGTAGTTAGACCATAAGCCCACCAAAGAAGTGGTTTAGTTATTAAATGGGGACAAATCTGACTCAAGATCGTAAATATTCTGCAAAAAATTCTGCAAAATGGACAATGTTTCAGTTTCGTTTTACTTTTTGTTTCTTTTTTAAACCAAGAAGTTCAGAGTTAACCATGCTTGTGAGAACAAAATTTGTTTGGAACTATGCTGATCGGTTCTAGTAAGACCCAGACAGTTGGAGAGCCCCGAACGAGGCAAGATGTCTGGTGTCAGAACAGGTCTACATGAGGAATCGTAGCGACGTTAAGAAATCAGAGCCCCCAGATTGCCGGCTATTGGTTTTACATGCGTCTGGATTGAACACTCATTAAGCCTGCCGCATCCGGCTGCCTGCTATCATTAAATCTGGGAGGTTTTATATCCCCCGGCTATGGGTACCAATTTGAGCGGTCAATATGGGGGCGAAGGCAGGAATTAAAAGGGATGATTTATTCAGTAAAAGTAATTATATTCATAAAGCTCAAACCTTTCCCAATCTGTGGTCACACATCGCTCAACTAAAATCACAATATTGTGGATTTTTCCGTCCATCCTTCTAGTGAAGTGACAGCACAGGCCATTCTGACTTTGATTGAAATTTTTCTCATGTCATGGTGTGAGTGTAGTTTATTGAATGATGTCTAGTCCAAATGAATTGATTATCTACCACTTTCTGCATGTATAATTGTTTGCTTGTTTGTGTCTTTTTTTGTGTGTTGCTGTGTCATTGAATGTTATCATGAGTTTGCACTTATGACACTGAGTATCACTGCAAATTATGCCAAAGCCACAACAAGGAATATTAAATCACACCCAATTAAGACAGGATCAAGGAAAGACAAGCATGAATCTTTTGGACTGAAAGCATCTTTGAGAACTCCAAAACAAACGCATGCTATGAAAAATTAAGTCTGTTTTGCTGTTTTGTTTGTTTTCACTTTAACTACAAATGTATTGAGTAGTGGGTACTTTCAGTTTTGCCTAACTCCACAATCTCACCCAAAATGATCGTAAACAATTAAAGTTTACACCCAACTAAAGACTGCTTGAACAGGCATTATGGCATGAGTTCCTCACTGTTTATTTTGTGGGTATGATTTGCGTTTACTTTGATTTGGTTCCTTTATTGTTTAACCCCACAGATTTGGTCGGTCCCGACCCGAGCGCTCGTCAGCTACTCCCACCTTAATGAGGTTCACGATGTGAATAAGAAGGAGAAAGAGCACGAACGCGCCCTTTTTCTGTTTAATGACTTGCTAGTGGTAGGTCATTACGTGTGTGTGATATTAGTGTCCACCTTACAATGCCTTGTTCTCTCACTGACACATGTAGGGCTTACAAAATCCAGTTGTCAGGAAATTGTTCCACTACAACTGCAATGTTTATCTTCCAAAAACTTAATGCATGGACCTTGAGCAGGTCAATCGAAGCTCATACCTTAACATGATCTACAGAGAGAAGGCATTGTTGAGTGGACAGACACAGTTTTGTGGAGGAGCTGAACTCTACCCTATGAATTTCAGTTTTTCAAGTGGACAGGAATGCATAATTTCATTGAGTTCCTCTCACTATTTATGAAGGAAAAGACTAAACATGTCTATCTTACTTTAAATTTATCATTTATTAGATTCAACAGTATAATTCAGAATTTGTTGCCAAACACTGTCAGACACAGCAGTTGGAAATTTTTCCATATGTACAGAAACCAATTCCTACTGTCCACTTGTTACCTGAAATTTTCTAGTTGTCAGAGTGCGGCCCCCCTCCCCCATTCACCTGTGACCTCCCTCTCCACCCCCCTCCCACCCCTGTGATCTCTCAACGTGTGCCGGTTGGTCTCCCTACCAGGTCCTCTCTCTGCCCCACCGGCGCCTGGTTTGCTATTGTAGACTTTACGAGATCCATGACCCCAATAAGCGGGAAAAACTAGGGCTGCACCAACGTGAGATCTTTCTCTTCAATGACATTCTGGTGGTAGGTTTCTCTCCTTCTCTGTAGGTGATTAATATTGTGATTAACCCATGCATGAAGATCTCCTTCCTTCCCCTTTTCTCTTCGTAATGTCTCTGCATTTTCTGCTCAAATTTTCTCTCAGCAAATTTGCACAACTGCAATTGATGATAATCTACCTCTTTTAACACAGCTATGTTCATCATACAGTGCACAAAATATGGCAGCTCATACAGCACACACTGCAACCTTCCTGTTATCACTATGTAAATGCACCAAAAAGTAGTGCCTGTTATATCTGTGTTATCATGTAATATTTGTCCCTTGATAGGACCACTATGTGCTTTTGCTGCCATATTTGAAGGGCTCTCACTAACTCTCCATCCGTCCCCTGCCTAACTGCATCACTAACCTACTACATGTACTAAGTATCAAACATTCCTTGCCTGCACACTATCTCAGCTTCTTGTTTCTGCAGTATATTATCATGGGTCATGCTAAAGCTTGCAAACAAATTACAGTAAATTAAATAACCTTTTCAAAAGTCTTAGACTATTGACAGTTTGGACATATGTAAAACATACTAAAATGTAGACCACTTTTTATATGGTTACCTAATACTGTAGCAACATGTGCATTGGATAGACCAGTGCTTCAGCCACCTTCCAGGGTATCCACAGTGTTAGCCTGTACAATGGCTTGAAGACTAGTCTATTCAATGCACATCAAGTACAGTAACAAAAGTCTTGATATACCTTAAATTCAGAACAGCAATTATTTAAACTAAATCTAACTAAAATTTCATACGTTGGTAATATGTTTTATAATATCTCAAAAACTGAGCTTTCCCCACGAGCATGCATTTGACTTGTTTGTATGGACTGATGTCAGCTTTTCAGGTGATTCTACTACGTTTGGTTGTTTACCATCATGTTTTACTAACTTTTGGTCCTTATGGTAGGAGAAATATTGTTACAGTAGTATATGTTCCCAAATTTGAGTAGAGCAAGATTCTAGAGAATGAGAATTACAGGAAAAGCTGACAGATGTCAACAGGAGCCAACTGAGGCCACAACAACTACCTGTTTCTTGGACAGAAAGTAATGATAAATACAACCCAAGAAAGTAATTATATTATGTTTGTCATCTGTACCCGAGAGTCCAAAGTTTAGTCACATTGTTTAGTCAGATAATTTCATTTCATAAAGTCAGGAAACTCCCATTCCAGTTTTAAAGAGTAACTAGAATTTTCCAGTTTAAATGTCCAAGAAACAAGAAGTTTTGTTGGACAGAGATACGTGTGGACTGACCCCCCGCCCCCTCCCTACAGGTAACTAAGATCCTTGCCAAGAAGAAACATGTGGTCACATACAGCTTCAGACAGGCCTTCTCACTGCTGGGGATGCAGGTGCTGCTCTTTGAGACGTCTCGTAAGTATGCTCACAAGAACTACGCACGCTCTTAAAGACAGGGTCTATAATAATATGAAACGTGGCCAGTGCAGCAGCTGGGAATGACCCTATAGTGTCTTCGGCCTTCTTGGCATGCAAAGTCTTCATCAAGAATTAAATTAAATCATTGTCAATATTCCAGTACCATTATGCATATTAACATTTTCTGAAGTATCAATCCTGTAAATGTTTACACTAACTAACAGTTAAACTTTGTTTTTCATGTTTGTTACAGATTATCAATATGGAGTCAGACTAACAACAATGATAGACAACAAGGTAGGTTTAATTCTTTTCTTCAACATTGGTGCACAATGTCTTGTTTTGATTATTCTTTTCCAGCCTGCCCCTGGTTCTGATGACAGTGAACTTGTCATGTTCTGTTCACCTCATGACTTATTGACTTATTATTATCCAAATTCAAACTCATCTTTTTATGACTCTTTTAAACTTGAGCACATGTTCTGATGACTCATTCAAACACAGGTTTTGATGACATTTAATGCGCCCAACGCACACGATCGAGAGAAGTTTGTGCAGGACCTGCGAGAGTGCATCCTGGAGGTGAACGAGATGGAGAATCTCAGGATAGGAGGTGAGCTTCTTAACCTCCACTTTGTGGGGACTTGTCATAGGCATTTTATGTCATTTCCGCACCCCCACCCCCCACCCCAAGGCTTAGTTATCTACATCTTGTCTGTGAAAGATGTACAGCTAGATCTGCCCAACTAGCCAATGGCTGTCACAAAGGGCTGGGGAATATAACAAAGCAAAACAACCAAACACAGCAATGTACCCCACCAAAACATGAACAATTGTGTGTTGTTCATTGTCGTCTGTCTTCTTGTCAATGATTAGCCATTCATTTCATTGCTGTCATCTTTCTTGTTTTTTATCTGTTTTGAGATTTCTTTCTGTTTCCTCTTTTCCTCTGTCCATTCCTTCTGTCTGTGTGAACTTTTTGTTTTCCTGTCTCCTGTACCCCCCTCCTCCCCTCTGGCTGGTCCAGATGACACGTCCCCTGCCAGCTCTGATGAGGAAATAACTCCAGAAGATTCCTCCCAAGTAGAGCAGGAGAACCTAGAAACCCAACAAGAGGGGGAGCCTGCATCTTGTCCTAATGAGGAACAAACTGACAGTTTACCAAAAATAGAAGAAGACAAAGAACTTGATGTGAAGACAGACATACCAGAAGTGTCTGTTGCTGATAGTAATGTGGATACAGAGTCGAGCAAACAACCAGATGCAGAATCATCATCAGGTACAAAACCTGCCTGAGGACTAAGTCATGCTTCCAGTATTCCCTGTGTATTATTTTTAACCTCCTCACTCATTGTCTTTAACTTTCCCTGTGCAATGTAATTTACTTTCCCAGTGCATCGTTCTTAACTTTCCCTCCCATTGTTCTTGCCCAATGTTCTCACACATGAATAACTCATCTCCCACAGCAAGTATTGCTGATAGCAATGTGGACACAGTGTCGAGTAAGCAGCTACGTGCAGAATCATCATCAGGTACACCCTGCCTGAGGACTATGTCATGCTTCCAGCATTCCCTGTGCATTGTTCTTGACTTTCCCGTGTTTCTCACACATGCATAACTGATCTTCTGCAGCCAGTTTGGATGTTGTTGGTTTGAGCTAACTTGAGTTTGAGGTGTTTGTGGCACAACTTTTCTGGAAGCTCTCTGTACACCTGTCCTTGGTCTGCCTTGACCAGAATAATTTTCTGTAACTAAGCAAAATTTGCTCCTTGGTACACACAGTCTCAGAGTAAACAGAGTGATGAACAAGTTCTTCATAGCAGCCTTCTATTTTCATATTGTCCTCTTGCTAAGGCCACTATGCTATATTCACTCCCTGAAGCTGTCTGTACAAAGGTACAGATTTTTCCCACAGGCTATTGTTTGTCTTGATCTTCCAATTCAGCATGGTTTTAATCAAAGAACCAACAACTCAAATTAGTGTGGCCTATTAGGTGTTACATTAAAATGTACGAAATCCAACAGATTAAGAAGATGTGGCCTTACGATGTTTCTCTCCTCTGCAGAACTGATGCGTCAGCAGTCCAACATGTCTGTGGGGAACTACAACACTCTCAGCACCTCGGACATACACCAGGCCAACGGTGGGCCGGTCAACCGCAGCTTTGACGACACCGCCAAGGACAGGCACACGCTGGGCGCCGACAGCGCGCTGAAGAGAACGGCACTGTCCAACTCACTACGGGACATCACAGAAGCCACAGGTGATTATAGGTGGGAGTGTAGCGCAGGTGTGTCGTGATGGCATGCAGGAGAACATGCATGTTAGGTGTACCTGTGTGTTAGGTGTACCTGTTTGTTAGATGTACTTGTATGTTAGGTGTATTTTACCTGCATGGAATGTGTACCTTAAGTTCATGTTTCATGTACCTTTTTGTCAGCTCTACTATTATATAATACATCCTTTTAAAAAACATTGCAATGTTTGGTAACTTTATTCGTGATCTTAGTTGTTATTGGAGAGGGGATGAGAAAACTCTACATATCATGTAGTTTCCATGGTAACGCTCTTTGCATGGACCAATAGATGGAGTGAGGGGGATGAAGAGGATTCTGTCGTCACGTGTCTGACGATCACCAAGGTTTGCACTGAACACTCCGGGTGATGCTGGTGGATGGTGGTCAGATTGCACTAATTCTTGGGCCAGCCACACAGTTTGGTCACTGTCTGAAAAAAGCAGCAAGTTTTGCAACAAATTTCTCATCTGAAAGACTTCATATCTGCCAATCTTGTTATCCTTGTAATTTTGGCTCTCCTCGGGCCTAAAAGGCAATGATGTGTGTCCATTGTGGCAGCTAGTTTGATGAAATACATTGTATTTACCACAGGCATGTGGTGTATACATGTAGGCCTTGTAGCAGGGCCTCCTGCCAGTGGCTGCACCTGTACCATATCTGTACTATATTAGCAATAGGAGGCTCACAAGATGTCTGCTTTTCCAGTCTATTATTCCATGCAAAGAATACCATAAAACAGCTGAATGCAAATTGCAAACTAAAGGCTTTTGTCCTGTAAAAATAATGACATTAATGGTGACTTGGGCCAAGCAAAAGCTAGGCTGGTGCTCATTTGAAGTTAGTGCAAGAAAGTGTCCTATTATTTGATAATTCAGCTTTTAATACCATCCAGCTTGCCTTCACTGTAATTCAGTATACGTAACTGGGCAATTTTTTTCTTAGCTTTAGTCACACAAACTCCAACAAACTCCCAGCATGTTGTTATTATCATGTGTTATTGTGTATGAATAAGAGACATCCACCTTCTGTTTTGGGAGATGTAAGTATCAGTTTGAAAATGAACAGATGATATCCATCAAGTTTGTGTGGCTATACTTGTGTTTGTCTGGAGTGAACATCCAGAAAGCCATGTATCTTATAAGACCAGCTAACTACACATAGCTACACAGTGTGCACCGGTAGTGACTAACCAGAGCTCCCCCTCCCCCAGGCAAAAGAGGACGTCGTAACAGTGCAGGTTCCCTGGACAGTAACATGGTGAGTCACTAGATGGCGCTGCTGCACCATCCCCCAGTCTGCTCTAATAATGCATGCTGAGCATCTTACCTGAATATGTGCCAAGTATCTCCTTCTGACATGAAAACTCAGTATGACCTTGCTGTGGGATCATGTTAAACCTAGAATGGAAACCGAAATGTAATCATTATAGGGTGCTTCTCTCAATTTGCATACCTGACACTAGAGTTTGCGACATAGTATATACTGGTATCTCCTGCTCCATATAAGATGCAGTGTTTAGTGCATGCTGTATTGCCTCCTATGCATTACACTCTGTTCCAGTTCTTCCTATTGCTCTAGCACCTGTAGAGAGGTAATGGCTAATGACTCTCCCCTGTTTCTTCTGTTGCCCCCCTTCTCGCACCACAGTAAAGTCAGAGGGTATGTACTCCTGCTACTCGCACAGTTCCTTCTGTCTGTCTCCTGCCAGGTCACTCACTACAGTAACATCTCCCAGTAACATTCACAAGGACTCCCAAATCATTGACCTTATGACCACCCCAAAACTTATTATTGTTCATACTCAGATGAGTCCCTGATGCTACTCCAAACCTCAATTTCTGCTTTAGCCAAAACATGCTATCGTAACAAATATTTGTTTCTAATAAACTTTTAAAAAAAGCTTGTGAAAGCATAATTCTTCACAAAACATTTCTTGCAATCTTCCTGTTGAGTATTTGATAAAACTACACTCTCTCCCCCTTCTAATATTTTTGGGTTTTCTTCCGCATCATATTCTAAAAACCCTTTTGTTTTCCATGTGGAGATGTTACTGGAAGTGTGGACGGCAAAGTTCTTCCTGTCTTATAAAGCTGTAGTGCAGGTTTATTTTGCGCAGCTATTACAAGACTTACAGTAATCCATCAACCACCACTTCAGGATTTGACATCAGTATTTGGAAAGTAATTGAAGCAGACTGATACGATATTATATTAAAGGAATGGTCTTATTGAATGTTGCATGTCTTTCAAGTTGTTGTGACGTACTTGAAGTCCTTTGGCACAGCATGTCCAGGAATGTTGGTTACCTCCTTATATGGTGGACTAACACGGATGTCAAATCCTGAACTGGGAAAAGGCTGACCAATCAGTGCAGTTTTGTCTGACAAACGTTTGTTTTCCTTTCTCTGCAGATTCCGAGCGGCCGTCCTGAGCCCAGTATGAAACGTTCGGAAAGTGAACAAGACACGACGAGAACGTCCCTTCGCCACTCCAACTCCTCGCTGTTTGGCGGCCTCTTCTCCAGGAAACACAAGTCCACGTCCAAAGCCAGCATGACCAGCATCAAGAGTGACGCCAGTGTCGGGAGCACAACCTCCTCCAACTCCAGCTCTGAAGCCTAGCAACATCCTAGCAACCAACTGCTCCAACACAAGCTCTAACCTAGCAACCAACTCCTAGCAACTGCCTCCTGCAGCACCAGCTCTGAAGCCTAGCAACTCAGTCACCAAAGAACTTAAACTGAATGAAAAATTGTGAGGAAAACTATCAAATGGACAAGTGCTTGAATGTGGACTTGTAGTTAACCAGGAGAAATCAGTACAAACTGTGTGAAACAATTGGGCATGGGAAGGGGTGGGGATCCATGTGGGGGACGGGTCCATCTAAGGCATGTAAATAAACAGTCTGCTGGTGAGATGTACAATACTGTTGGTACTACACTGGGGCTTCTGTGGGGGATACTGTTAGAATATTTGAGTTAGATACAAAGGAAACTCTGCAACACATGTTTGTCAGTGATTATTGCAGTACAACTGAGTCAGCTATGGAAAGGATGCTGATGTGAATGTCAGGTCTCATCAATGGGATTCTTCGTTATCAAAGCAACACATCAAATGGGAGAGCAAAAGGAAAACTGGACAGATCAGAGAAAATAATTCAAATTGACCAGATTTAGTCTCTGAAGTGAGTAACTGAATTGATTTGGTCAGAAACAGCCCATTGTGATACTTGCCATGTTTGCTGTGAGTGAAAATGTTCTATTGTAAGGAGTAGTTGGTTCAAACGTGTTGACTGGATGTGTGAGAAATGACTCAGAACTGTGTAAATATTATAATATGATATTATTATATTAACTTGTACATAAGTATGAAGAGGGTTGGAGTTTATAAAATGTGGTGACCCCTTCCTTTGTCCTGCCTGTGGTGTGAGGAATCCTGCAAATTAGATAAAAATTGAATTTTGCAGAAAATTCTATATTACAGTCAAACAAAGACAATTTGATTTGAATAGAAAAAGAGTCATAAGAAGACATAAACATATTATCATTATTGTTTGCTGCCCTGGGGGTCAGGGCAAGTTATTGAACCTTCTGCACTGATTAGAAGTAAGCTCTTTAGTCTGTCCTGTGTGAACAGTGAGGTATGTATGAGGAACACAGTGCTGTTGGATGTGTGAGAACTGGTAAACTGTGTGGCCCAGACTGATGTATTAATGTGATGAACACAGTTCTGTAGAGTCTGCTGCTGTATGTATGATGTGGTGCTGGACACCTCAAGCTTTCCCCTCGGGTTATAGTACACTGTGTTTGTCCTTGGTGGTAGGGGCTCTGTCAGGGCTGTAGGGGCTTTGTTGGGGGAGGGGGGCAGCATAGTTTAGGGGATAAGTAAGAAGGGCTAGCTATGATTAATGTTTGTAGCCTGCCGTGTGAGTTGTGGGTATGTTTTTGATGTACAGGACTTAACTTGACAAACAGAACACATAAATTTGTTTTTTCTCAACTACACCGTAGGAAACATCAACTCTCAGTTCAAATTCTGTGTCTAAACAATAGCAGCCTGCAGGCCTGTACAGTGCCACATGGAGCATTCTAGCTACCCAACTAGATACACTTCTGGACACACAGGATTGATAGTGATAGAACAATGTGTATATACAAATGTATGACTGAGTGTATCCATAAACATTGCCACATGTGTCGCCAAATGTGTAGCCTTTAAAAAGTCACCAGGGTGCTGCGATGTGGCCATTTACTATGTTTGTAGCTGTGTATAGGTAGAAATGTTACTGGTATATTTATTTGGAACTGCCCGTCAGCCAGACAAGCAACACAGAAAAACACATGAACTCAATCTTGCCATTACTAGTGGAGTTTACACAAAAGGTGTTGTTGCATAAAAATGATGTAAACAACTGCACAATGTTTTAGACGTAGCTTAAAAGCTAAGCCTTGTCTTTTTGTTGTATCACAGAGTCGACCATTCATTTTCATTCTGAGATAATTAGAAATACCCAATCATAGCCCCTGTATCTCAGTGCTTCTTGTACACAAAAATCTGAAGGTTCCACTTTAAAAACATTTCTTCTTACCCCCTAGTCATTCATAAATACTCAAATTACAACAGTTGAGAATGGAAGCAGTTGTGTAAAAAAACGTGTGTTTGATCACAAGTCCTGATGTTGGATCCGTTTTAGGATCACAAGATCAACAGGTTGACATTTAAGTGTACAGGGATGACATTTCCTTTTTTCCCATTTGACGACAGGGGTGCAACATTTTTTCTGTGTAACATTTGGTGTGCAACATGAAAACTCCAACCTTTTGGGATGCTGGTGCCATTCCGAGGTGACTCGCAACATTTGCAGCTTTGTTTGTTTACTGAAAGCTACTGGAAGCAAATGTATCTGTTCTGTAATATTGATAAATTCTGTGTGACTGTATATAATATATAATAATGTATGGTAAAGAGAATTAAGAAGTACATCAGACTTTGTGTTCAGAGTGCAATGCCAGGTCCCAGCTGATGTAATGTTTGTGTCTCAACTTAAAAACAAAGGCCAGCCCAACATGTTAACCTATTTAGTTTTCAAATATTTTCACTGGAAACAATGAGTTAAAAATGCTCTCAAAGTGAACATTGGAAAGTCTTCCTTATTTAAACTTTCTTAGTTATTTGTTCTTAAGAAAAATTGAGACTTTGTCCTGTGCAGGTTTCAGGAAGAATGAAATCATTCTGACTGGGAAATGTAGAGCTGTGAAATTGATGTATGTTTCAACTCCATTGGCCTGGCCTGTACCATTACCATTACCATTTCTGTACATGCAGGAGAAATATGTGCATGCATGTCAGTAGGAGATAAAACAGTTACATTGTATTTGGTATAGGAAATGCTGTTGTGTGGGAACCAGGTATTGGCTACTGTGTTATGCATCAGGGAGAAGGTTAAGAAAGTGTTCACAGAATTATGTTGGATTTTTCACTGAAGAAGAATTTCACAGACATAAAACTTTATTGGATAGAGACTCCCTAGCAAGTTTTCTGGTGCAACAATTTGCCTAAAAAATGGTGGTCATTATACCAAATTTCACTGCATATGAAAATGTAAGATATAAACTCTGACAAATTTTGCCAAAGAATGCAGAAGGTTGGAGAGTGTATAAGGGGAAATCCAAGATATTTCTATCTCCCTGGAGGGTATGTAAGGGGACTGTAAGATGTTCATTTCTCCCACCTAAAGAGTGTACTTATGTCTGTAGGTGTATATTGCTTCTGATGTACCTTTGAACTGAATGGGACCTGCCATATAGACATAACAGGAATGAACCATTGCTCTGTAGGGAGATGAATCTGCTATAAATAAAGCATACCATATTCAAAAATCTTTCTGGCAACCCTTTCTTGGACTTTTTCTTGCAGTTTTGGCAGCTAGCTTGAGATCTTACTACTAGAGACTGGGACAACTGAGCAGGCAAAGATTTGACAGAGCACTCAAAGTATTTCATAGATAAGTACTGTTTCCTCTGTTCCCACTTATTCTGTTTATAACACCAACACTGAAACAAAAATGGAAAGATATTCTTTATTCAACACGTGTGGCCTGCTGTACAGGCAATCTTACACAAACTCCTCTTTTTGCCCTGAACACATGTTCTCAACAGCAGACTGGAAATCAAAGAACACATTTTATACACATTTATATACAGAAACTTTTGCCATGGTTTTTGGCAGAATACCTCATAACCAGTAACATTACTACCAGTTTTAAATATGGTTTGAATGTCATCACACTTTATATTACATAACCACTTTATATTACATAACCACTGGAACACTACCCACTTGGCTAAAATCCTCCCCCTCCCCTACATTTTCCTGAGATCGTTCTCCAGTCCGTAAATTTTGGCCTTCAGGTGTTTGATCTCCCCCACAATCTTTTTGGACCGACCCGCCGTCTTCCTGACATTGTGCAAGATTTCCATGTCAAACTCGTCGCCGGGCGTCGGCTCACCCATCCCCAAGGTAACCTGTAACCAAGGTAACAGAACAGGGTTTGCATCATCACATTCTGTTAAATAGTAGGGTAGCAGTGTAGAATTGGTAAGGAAATAAAGCCTTAGTACAACTCTGCCTACCCTGTACAGCTGCTTCTCAACGTCTTTAAGGCGCCCTCGTAGCATCTTAATGTCGTTCTTGAAGCCCTCGACCTCCATGGCTCGTCTTCGCTCCAGTGCCTCGTAACGCTGGTTCATCAACTGTACACGCTTACTCATCTTAGTGGTACGGTCCTGTGTAGTGGGGAAGGGACAAACCAGAAGTCACTTTCATGCTCAACTATTACTGAACTAGGAATATATCCAAGCTGAGACAGAATGGATAGAAGTAAGCACAGCCCCTTTGTGTGTGTTTAGGAAGGAACCTTTACTTACTTGGAAGATCTCCTTGCTGACATCTCCCTCCTCCCGTATCTTGGAGAGTTGGTCCTCCAATTGGATCACCTGTTCCCTGTACATCTCAGCCAACCTCTGGGCCTGGGACACACTCTGCTTCAGGGTCTGTGTGAGATACAACACAACACATGTAACCACACACACACAGCCACTGGGCCTGGGGTACATTCTGCTTCAGGGTCTGTTGTTAATGCAAATAAACCATTGATAATGATACAACAAACACACACTCACACACACAGCCTCACCTCCACTTCTATCCTGTGCTGCTCACGTGCCTGCCATGACACCTCACCGCCCTCCTCAGACACCTCTAGTATCGTTTTCTCACGGGAAATGTTCAGCTGGTCCTTTGCCATGTCCAGTTCCCGAAGCAGGCGGTCCTTCTCTGCCATCCAGCGTCGCTCATCAGAGCGTCCCTCGTACTTCAGCTCCAGGTAGTCCTTAGTGCTGCTGTACAGGAGGTCCTGTGTCTTCTGTAGTCTGGGGGCAGAGAGCAGAAACTCAGTCACTGGTGAAGGACAGCAGATTGCCATTTCAAATTTTCTGCACTCAGTAAGAATGTGACCAAAAGTTTCTAGCTAGATAGGCACATGTAGTAAGAACTGGACACAAAGGGAAACAAAGTGACCTAAAGCCCACCTGTCTGTGAGACCTTTGATCCTGTCGGTGTCCCGTTGTCGCTGAGCATCCTGCTCCTCGATGCGAACCTGTCTGTCCTGCAGCAGGGCCTCCGCCTGCTCCCGCGCCAGCCTCGTCTGCTCCTCCAGCTGTGCCTGCAACAGGAAAACATCAACTTGTCAAAACAAGGCCTATTTAAATCCAGCATACCATCAAATATTATACGTGCATCTGGAAAAGTTGTGCATACAAAACTGCCACCTTGTGAGGACTGCCAGAACTGCAGTTGGTATCATTTGCTATGGTTACCTGCAGTGCCTCCACATGCAGTGCAAGTGTCTCATTGTCCTTTTGGTAGGCTTCTGTCTCTGGAGAAATTGGCTTGTCTGCAAGTTTCCTCGGTTTGGCTGTGGGGAAAGTCAAAGAACATGAAAACTCAGAAATGGAATTCACATATGTTCTTACTTTGGTTCTCCAACATTCAAATCTATAGTAAGTAAGAATTCAACAAGAGGACTACATGTTAACAGTTGGAGGACTGACAGAAAAACTTGATTCTGACTATATTCACACCCTAAAACTGTGTATGGACCCCTCAAACTTTCCTCAGTTCAGTATTAGATTTTTTACTCAAACATCTGGCCTATTCTTAGACTGCTCAATTGAGAACAAGTATGATTTTCCTGAGTGCAGAAGTCCTGACAAACATGGTTGTGTTACTGTTATAACATGTCTACATATCAACACTACAACCACCTGTCTACAGGATACAGCTAACACCACTACTGTTAGTAACCTTGTCTGTGTGGTCTCCTCATGTCTGCTGCTTCCCTGTCTGCTGACGGTCTCAGGGCCACGCCCTCATCACCTAGAAGACACAAGGGTCAAAAGTGTTAAACTATACTGGCTGACAGACTGGCTGACTGGCTTCCTTTTGAGAGAGTCCCTACCCAATCTCTCACTGCCAGGGGCTAATGGACCCTTTCCTTCCCTAGAGAGCCAGCCAGTCAGGTGGGCCACTAGGACTCAGTAGGAATGTAATATAGTCAAGGTACTAACGTAAAGTGTTTAACCAGGTAATCCCTGTACCCAAGAAGATCAAGTTGTTTTCTTGCCCAAAAAGTAGACAAGTAAATGTTGTTTTAGAAAACATGAGTTGTATAGGTAAAACTCAGTAGAGTGAAGTGAAGTGTTCCCCTACCGTCATGTGGATGCTGCTGGCGAGGCCTGCGCTGTGGGATGGTGACTTTTGCAGGAGGCTCGCGGTGGAAGTACGTGATGTCCCCAGTCTCTGGTCCGGAGAGTGACAGCAGGTGCTGAATCCGCTTCCTATCCTCCAGCTCCCGGATCTTCAGCCGGTCGTTCTCCGCGTACAGACGTGCACATGTTCTCGCTCCTGTAGGGATGAGTTGTAACATGATACAAGTTACCTCACCTGAAACAGGTACAACTGCATGTCTACAGGTGTGTATAGGTGAGTCTCACCTGAAACACGCACATCTGCCTGTGCACAGGGCTGTATAGGTGAGCCTTGCCTGTAACAGGTGTGTATAGGTGAGTCTTACCTGAAACAGGTACACCTGCATGTCACTTAAAGCTTTCTGCAGCTCAGCAATCTCATCTTCCCGTTGTCTCATCTCCCAGCCCAGTTTGTGCTGTGAGGACAGAGTCAGAACATGATTAGAAAAACAACATTGATAATAACAGTAACAATTTGCCACTCACTCTAGCATCCTCTCCAATTCTTCACCAATAACACTACAAATAGATCCAGAAATTCTCTGAGACCTTCACACACATCCCCAATCACCCTGGCAACTTTAACTATAAACTGTTCTTCACCTGTTCCTCATAGGTGGCCTTGTACTGGTCCAGTTTCCTCACCATCTCCTCATGGTCTCCATCAAACTCTGCAATCTTCTTCCTGGAAGTATTCAAATAAACAATAGAATCATCTTCAAGAAAGATGGAAATGTGTCTTTAAGTTGTAGCTGGAAGCTATCCATTGAGAAAAGGGACAAATTTACATAGGTTAATGTATGGGGGAAGAGCCTTTACAGTAAACAGAGAACCACAGCTTCCAATGTCTGATTTTAATGAACCCTCTCCTGTAGTAGCACTGGAAGGTTGAATGAGCGAGAATGGCTGGAATTTGAACCAATGGCCTTCTCATCCAGATGTATGGCAATGTGCCCAACTCACCTGTAGTACTCCAGCAGCTCTCTAGAGGGCCTCAGGTGGCCCAGCCGCTCATTGACTGATGGGATAGGTGAATCATCGTCACCATCTGCAGTGGGAGTTTGGCCTCTAGGAGGCGTTGCTGTTCTTCTGTCTGGTGACCTGAACATTAAAATATAATTGTGTAAGTGTTTTTATAAAATAAAATGATCTGTGTAATGCATTTTATCTTGAAGCAACGTAATTAATAGAACCTTATTGATTTAAGACAATTTAGCCATATGCCTCCTTCAGGCTCAACTAGTTGGGCTTTTGGGGGGAAGGTCTGAATTATGTGCTTTGCTCCAAAAGCATATCAGTTATAGGTACTCTTCTTATAACCAGCGTACAAGAAACCAAGTAACATTACCAAGAAAAATTTATGCCATCAGAAAAAAGTAACGTTATATCATAAGCTGACTCCCAGAGCCTACTAAAAAGGAGGTTATGAACGTAGGGCTAAAATTTAGGAGGACCGGAGTAAACCACCTTTCATGATTACACACCAGTAATTTCGAGTCAAGGTACCGATAGACATGCAAATGTATGTTGGGCCAAGCCAACTTGGAAGCCTAGTTTTTTTATATAGTCACCATGGTGCACGGCTAAGTCAAGGAAGAACTTGCAGTTTGAAAATGAAACCCAGAACAACAGAGATGAAGGCTGTGTGTCCGTCTAAAACAGCACCTATAATCTTAAAAACTCTTAATTTTGTACTAGAGTCTAAAACATCGTCTAATATCCCCGGTGATCGCACGAAAAACAATTAAAAATCCCTCACCTGTATGAACCTGCCTGAGGAGACGCCATTTTGAATCTGGCGGTTCACCGGGAACTCTGGGATATGTTTGGATGATTCCATTTCGCTGGCAGGGGGATAATAGTAGGTCAATATTACAAAGGTTCCGGGGACGGTGGACGGGTTTATTACTAACTAAATGTTACTTTGTCTAGTTTTGGTCCCGATTCTTCTCATATCATTGTAGCTGTGGACGTATACGTTTTATTTTCTAAAAAGCCTGATAATCGCCGGTCTGTAGGTGGCCTAATGTTGCTTGTCCCGCAACCAGGAGCTTTCGTCATGCATGTGGCCTGATAAGGCCGGATACTAGTATGTGCGTTGTGGATTAAAATGAGTCATTGGGGATTGCGGAAAATTTACTGGATATAATATACATTGTACTTTTAAAAAGTACAATGTATATAATATCACGTAGAGTGATAACACGTAAAATTACTTCTTTTTTTCGGAGACATGAAGTACTAAACTTCTTTGGTCTTTTTCTTGCAGTAGAGTCATGTCAAAATATCACTTTTCTCAAAGATGTACTTTTATCGAGGAAGTTCAATCAGACTTCCTTGCTTCCTTCTATATGCGAATTATCCACAATTCAGTAGCAATACTATCAAACATTTCTACAGGCAGAGCAGCACTTTCCACGATACATGTACATGTAGTTACATGATGTAGGTGCACGGCGGTCTGTCACTACGGTATTCTTTCCCATTGCTAGGCGCGTTCTAAAAGGTATCGGGTTACAAGACGCTATTTTGGCCGATTTTGGCCTACCAGTAAAACACTTGAAAATAAACAAAAAGGATTTAATGGTAAATTTCGTCAAATAAAAATGAAATTATTGCCTTAACATCCTTTTAATATTAGCTGTTAATGTTAAATCATTGATTTTTCAAAATTTCGCTCCGAAAGACGATTTTTTTCGGGTTTCCGACCACAAGTCATGTCATGTTTTTAGGCAAACATCGTTTTAACCTGGCTACGTATATTACCCCAGATCCCCGATTTTTATATTTTTCGACGACTAGGAATAAGATCAAAAATCGTGTTTTAGGGATTTTTTAATTTCTGATTTTAAGTCTAGTTTTTGTCGACATATTGGTGAAAAAATGATTTTTTAAAACATTTTTCGCACTAAATTACCCATAATTCAAAATTGAGGCCATTTTTCAAAAATCCCTAAAACACGATTTTTGGGACAACCGTAACGGTCATTTTGAGCCGTGAATGGGGTATGCTTGACTTTCCATGCTTGCAGGTTAAAACGAGTTTTGCAGACATGTCATGTCGACCAAAAGTCTGCATTGTGTTATTCATACTGGCGTAAAGAATCATTACCGTATTCAAGGTCACCCAAGGATACGACAGTAGCTTCGCTACGTGTTACATGTCCACAAAAAAATGCTAGCGGACATGTATTGTCCACGAAACTGTTTGTATCTATAGAAAAATGTTTTTTTTATCTGTTGCACGGCACGGAGGCAGAAAGGCTTGTTTTGCCGCTTTATTGTAAATGACCGCAGAATTGCCCAGATCGAACACGATCGAACACAGTTAGGGTTCTATGACATGTGGGAACTTTGCAACCCAGATTTTACCACCGTGGTGTTGCGTAGCCTCCATATCAGACTTTCCTACGGCGGTACGCGGATCATAGAATATTCGACAAAAAAAAAGAACTAAATCGCCAGGAGACTCAGTGGGAGGGTTAATTCCCCTCTCCAAAGGGCAAATGAACTCTATGGTTGCTAATCTCCCCTGGCAAATTATTCTCCCTATTTGGCCTTGATTGTACTGATTTCGAAGCGTTGTTAGTCTGGTCACCAGGTGGTTGTGCGTACGTGCACGTCCACACGTAGGCTCGGGGCACAGGAGACCAGTCTGCATGGTGGCAGCTGGTGATCAGCCGGACATGAATCACTACCACCATAGTCTGCAAGGTGAGGGGTTTCACAGAACACCTCATCTGTGCAAGTACGTTATATCTAATCTCCAAGCAGATCTTTCGGTGGCAAGACAGTATCCATTGGCCAGAGGAGTGTCCATTTGCCACCGAAAGATCTGCTTGGAGATTACGTTATATCCCTGATCTGTGTCATGTCCAGTGAGCAGCTGCATATATACTCCCTATAACGTTATATACCGGTATACCACACGTCTCTGGCGGACAAAATGTTGGCCAAATTGAAAATGGGGGATGGGGAATAGTTGAGGAGTTGACTGCGTAGCGCACAGGTCAACTAATATTTCCTGTTTGGGTCAATACTACAGTGCAGTGTACATGTATTCTATTCAGTCTTCATTTCTCCACTTTATTTGTCTAGTTATGTACTCTTTGTAACATTCTGCAGTCCGCGACAGCGAGAAACGAAGAGGGGTTCAGGAAGCCGAAAAGGTTTAAATCACAGATTCTGCAGAAATAAAAGTTTTCAACATGGTAATGCTACAGCTAAGTCTGTAAATTTAGTAAATCCGTTTGCTCCGTCATTAGTACTAGAGCAGGCAAAAAGACAGTATCAAATTGGCCAGGCAGTATCCATTAGCCAGAGAAGGCTGCCAGCCACCGACGGGTGGGGGTAGCGACAAAAAAACGGCCATATATAAAAAGGTAACGATCATTCCCCCACAAGCTCTGCTTGGAGAGTAGGTTAGAGTATGTTTAGTCGGAAATTTGTGATCCTATAAACTGGCGGTCACAGTGCCTATTTCATCTCTGAGAAATTTCATTTAGTGAGTGAGTGTTCGGGAGAACCAGAATTACATGTCGCCATTGAACTACTTCTGAAGACTGTAGAGGCTAGACGTAGGCTGCAGGTAGGGACAGAACAGCTCTGCCGAGCATGACGTGATGTTACTGTGGTAACGCGAAGCCGCCCAAGGTCACGAATCATCGGCGGGCTCGTACACTCTTCAGCAGGGGCAGGAGCCGGTATGGCAGGTGCTAGCGTACAGGCGCCAGCCCCATATATTGAGAAATGTGTATGGCAAAATACACCGCGGAACCCAAATTTCTGATGATACAATAAAACGGTTGTTTTGCTTTACCGTACAGTGTCCACGCCATGACCATTTGGGCATCATCATAAGTATTATAGTCCTGAACGAAGCCAGGAGCTTCTGTTCATGATCTGTTTGAACTAGGCGGCAAAATCGTCCCTCCGCGGCACAACTCGCGCCGCTCACCAAAAAAAAAAAAAATAAATTAATAATAATAACTCCGCGCCCTACAAGTCTGCGACGGAGGCTACTTGGAGAGCGGACCAAAGATAACCGGGCCTGCCAGTAAATCTGGACTCCAGGCTACCCAAACCCAGGACCGAGTGTACTACAATGTATATGACTGCAAAAATGATATGGCTTTTAAGAAATGATATTCTTTTAGTCTTTTCTTATTTTGCTATTCCAAGTAGGTTGGTTAGCTCCTTGGTTTAATCAAAAAGCTCCTTGGTATAAATATATTCTGGTGACCAAAATGACGCGCGTCCACGAAACCATTCTTTCTGAATGGAAAGTTTCAAAGGAACAAAGATACCAACCTCAGTAGAATCAAGGAGGTTAACTCCCTTGGTAGAATAACCGTTTCTTTTGTTATTGTTGTCGCTTATTTGGTAGGTATGTTATACTAATGGTTTAGTAAATATATTACAAGTATTATCGTTTTTCTTCACTCGTTTTCATTACTGGACAAAGCGTGAGAAAACATTTTTTTTTAGTTTGACAGCAGCGCATGTGGACCCGGAAGCCCAGGGCTCCAGGCAGCCAATCAGCGCACCGGAAACGAGATCTTTAAAATTTGAACACATGGGAGACGGGATGCAGACGGGCAGCCGCGTCACAACAATCAACAGCACACATATTCATCCTCAGAACCGGCGATTATCAATTTGATTTGATCAAAACGGAATCTAAGTCAAACCATATATTATTTTCTTTATTTCGTGGAGGTTTAGATCGCTAAAGTGATAAATGGTGGTTCTGTAAGGGGAATTTACGTAACTAATTAGAACTTATTTTCTGCGGATACAGATGTGAATTAGGATGTGAGCAGGCCACACGTCCAGATCGTCCCCAAAGCAAGATGGAGTAGTGTTTTTCTGGCGATCTCGCACGTTTTCGGTCGTGTTTTCTATTCCAAGACACTCCTGGACTTTTCTAGCTGGGAATATAACCGTGTCTGCGGGATGCCGGAGCACGACGAGTTCGTACCGCCGCCAGAGGCTCCGGTTTTCGAGCCGAACGAAGAGGAGTTCGCCGAGCCCCTGGCTTACATCGCGAAGATTCGGCCTATTGCAGAGAAGGCTGGCATCTGTAAAATCAGACCACCACCGGTACGTATTAGCTGTAGTTCGTCCTAAGCTACTCAGACTTATTGTGTTCTGGTAAAACTGCTGACATGTCGTTGAAGTGTCCGGTATTGCCGCAACACGCATTGTCCATGCAGACCGGCCCTGCAGAATCCAAGATGGCGGCGGCTGCTACCATTGTTTGGTTTCGTCATTGGTTCAAGGATTTTCCCTGAAAATTGCCCGTGCTCCCCCATTCTGGGAAAAACTCAGATTGTCTTCCTCAGAATTTTTTAAAGACTTCCAGAAGCATGTTTTGTCATAGTCTTTAAGAGAAACTTTGCTAAAGAGAAGTCAGGAACAGACTATAAATGAGAGGTAGAAGGGTGGGTCGTCTGGTCAATCCTGAATGTCCTGTATACACGTCACACAGTCGCAAGTCCACTGGTTACAAAAATCGTTCATACTGTCTCAACGGCACCAAAAACCCCAATTTTCTTCCACAGAAAAGTTTCAGGGGGAGATATAAAAAGGATTTATCCGGAAGAAAGTGACTTAGGGCGGACTTTTGGAAATTTTTCCGCCTTTTCACAGAAGGGAAATCCAAGACTGGCTTCCTCTCATGGAAGACTGCCGACTTCGGGGCAAGAATGCAGTTTTTTCTTCAAGCTGCTGATACCTTTTTCTCGGCAATGTCAATGTTCTGAAGTGCCCAGCTCTTCTCACAAACACTTTAAGTACGACAATCTTCAACCAAATCGGTTTATTAACAGGGCAGAGGGACGTTTTCCCTTCGAACTCACAGGGCGCCCGACGTCCGAGGAAAGAAAATGTGCGACGGTGCCACCATGTTGATCGTCGATAGTGATGGCTGCCGTTTGAAAAGGCCTTGAAAGAAACGCTATAATTTCCACCTTCCGACGGCCAGGATCAAAAATTTGTACCGTCAGATCTATCAGCGTTTTTGTCAGGTGTCGTTTGGCGGGTACAATTGTCTAAATTGGTTGATTTAGAAAGAAGATACACTATTTTGAGTGAGGCATGGGCCCTCTGAGAGCCGTGTTAGCGATGACACGTTATGTAAAGAATGGGCAGTGCGGTGGGGCATTCCTGGTGGAAAATCCTTTCCTGTCCCCTTTTTATTACAATAAGATTGATAACCCCAGTATTTTGACTAAAACTGAGAATCAGAATATTGTTTAACACTTCTAAGCTTTATAAATATGCTTCAAAAAGCCAGGTTAGCTGCCAGAAGTCAGACTGTTGCTATGAGTTTGTACCAAAATAGTATGCGTACTGTTGAAATAGGCAGAAGTGGAGCTGGATAATGACATCTTGCGACATTGCCACAATCACAATGCAATGTAGAATGTAGGATTATTGCAAATAAGACCATGGTCAGTTGCTGGGGTATTTTAGATATCTACCTTTTGGCTGTGGATATGAAAATACTGAAAAATTGACCCCAAAGAGGAAATTGAATAACAAACTTAATTTTGACTTCTGACTTGCAGACTGTTCTGAAACAAGCAGTCTTTTGCAATGATTATGAGTATGTCTGACATTGTCTGGCATAGAGATATCTACAAAATACCATATTTCAAACAATGTGCTCTTCATTGCTCTTTCTTCTGTTCTACAGAAGATTTTGACTACCAACAAGCATAGTCTATGAGCACTGGGACTTGTAGAATAGAAAAGAGAGAGCTTTTTGGGTGCGGTGATCATTCGCTCAACTATGAAGCTAGCCTGGGTGTATATATATATATATACCATTGGGGGATCCCAGTGTCTCAGTATACACATTCCAAATCATTCTTTACGGGTGATTCTACCAGTACTGGCAGTAGTCACGAACATGTCAGTTTTAGTTTTATCCTGGTGCAAGTTGGTTATTCAGGAATCGGGATAAGTGTGCATATGCATACATAGCTCACACAATTAATAAACGATACATCAGTGGTAGAAATTTGTCATACCCGTTCATAATGACATCTGTAACTGTTCAAGGGAATCTCACAATGCATCATTTTAGTGTCAAGTTGCTGAATCATAAATGGCTATAGCATATAGTGTAACATATATAGCTGAGGTACAGTGTGCAATATATTGTGCATTTGTCCTGATTTGTATGCCTAATGCCAGGTAAAATATTGGTGCCATCGTCACTATTTTCACCCATAGATCTCTATTGTATTGCATCGAGGCACAGCTGATCCTCATTACAGACAAATGCCAATACAATAGGTTAGGTAAGATTGCAGCTGGTGAAGGGGCTGGAATAGCCAGGGTGTGTTTGAGGAAGACTGCAGACCAGACTGCAGGTCTTAAATATGGCAGCCATGATAGCTACGGGGCACAAAATATGCCTGGTCAGGGCATCATGGGTAAGGGTGCTTCTGACGTGTGTTGGGTGTTTATGCCATTAGAGTGAGCTGAGGTAGTCTCTGGTAGCTGGTTATATCAGATGGAACGGAAACTATGCATTGCCTCATTTGATTACTCTGATTCATGCACGATGTAGCGACATGTAACAAGTGCTCAGTCCTCTAAATGAAAATCTGTACTTATATGTCAATGTAGTTGCTAAGTCAATGTTGTCTAGACGAATTACCTCTACTACGACACTATCAATCTTCCGTCTAACTGGATAGATAATCTGAAAATTATTGTAGTTGAGATATATGTATATATATATATATTATAGCTAGGGAGCAGCAAGATTTTTAAAATGCAAATTTCCCATAGAATAGACACAATTGTCTAGTGAGATTCTTTGAAACCAATTGGAGACTGTAGATGTTATTTTCTGAAGCAGAGTCCAGATGTATCCGTCTGTGTTTATGTATACAAAGTTAACTTATTTCAGTATGGCCAAAATCAACATGGAAGGACAGAGAATGGCAGCAATGTCACTGACACAGTTCACATGCTTACCATGAAAGGGGAGGGGGGCCAAGAGACATTTGCAGAGATCACAATTGTTATTGTGATATTCAGCCATGTGTTAGGTGGGAGGGGTATGAGATACACATTTATAACTCTAAGACTCCTCCATTGTTATTGTGATACTGACTCATTGGTTCCTTTTGTTGCAGGACTGGCAGCCGCCCTTTGCAGTCGATGTGGACAATTTCAAATTCACGCCTAGGATCCAACGCCTAAATGAGCTCGAGGTGGGTGTCGATGGTCATTAGTAATTTGTTGCTGTTCATCAAGCAATACTGGTTACAAAGGATGTTCTATTGTCCTTTATTGGTCCTGGTTTCTCACCATTGTGTTACGTTTGGTATTTGTCACCTGGATGGGTATTGAGTTTTTATGTGTAAGTGTTGGCTACTTCAGAGGGGGTATGTTGCGAGCACAAGCTGCCCCATGTAACTGCTCAGTCCCTCACACCCTCAAATGGGACTACCTGTCAGACATGTCACACATGGTGTATGACAGATTTACAACAGCAACTTTGGGGGCATTTTAGGACAAAAGAGAATGTGTTACTCATGCAAAAACTAGCTGTATTGTGGTGCAAAATGTTGTTGTAGATTCTTTTCGACAGTTGTTAACTTGTTTGGTTGTCTTGCTGAAAATCACACGACAAAAAAAATCACACAGTGTATATGGCTGCAGCTTTAATGTAGTGTGTGAAATTCTTCCTTTCAACTTTTGTTTGCAATTTCAAAATTGTTCAAGCGCAAGGGCACTTGAAATAATTGTACAGTATGTAATATTTCATTCAAAAGAATATGTTTTTTATGTATTATGCTATAACCTTCCCATATGTCTGAGGTAACATACTTGTTCCACTACGCAATATGTCTTAATGATACCATAGATGATAAGTTCAGTGTATAGTAGCACACTGACAGCCATGTTCAGTGATGTTGGGTCATTCTGACCCGGGTCAAATTGGACGTTTGGACCCTGACCTGATAACAACTGGGGAACCAGCCCTGATAAACCTGCCATGAAATATCACTCACGTTGGTCGCAACCTTCCTGCATAATTTATAGAACCACACTTAATCCTTTTGCAAAGTATTATGGAAGTGGAATTGTCATTGTTTTGTTGAATTGTTCTGAATGCAAGTCAGGTAGGTGTGTGCATTTTATCTTGTGTTTGATTGAGTCTTTTGTGAGGAATATGTGGTTGAAGAAACATGTGGAATAAAATACCGGTATCAAATGTTTCTATTTATGTGTCAGCCCTCCCAAGCCCCTCCTACTGGAGAGCTTTTCATATACATTTGTTGTTTCATTTAGAGAAGACTAGAAAGTATTTGTATCTTTTCCTTGTTTTAATCTTTACATTTCATCCAACCATGTAATTTTTGTTAGTGTTTCCCTTTGTGTTCCCAAGAGAGTAATTTTGGATCCTCCCTCATCAGGTGTAACATCTTTGCTAGCAGTGTACAGATAAAATGCACATCACCGTTGGGATAGCTGTTGTGTTAAATTGGTTGGGAGATATCTTACCAACATTCTGTGATTGTTAAGAGTCATGTTACCAAATGTGATGCTGAAAATTGATAGCTCGCTGCATGCAACGGACATGTAATCAGACAGTTTTGCATTCACTGTGACACCTTGTTATGATGTATGTGGAAGCTGAATATATATATTTCATCTCAACAAAATTTTCAATGCACAGGCATGTAATGCTGTCTCTCTTTATCTTTTTTGTTAGGCAATACTCTTTCAGTCTTTGAATTTTGATGTGTTGTTGCTGCATGGTTAACTGTAATGGTAAAATTTTTGTTGTATGTAATTTATTAAGATGTCGAGATATCTTTGCAAGTACGTACCCATCTCAATGAAAAACTTGCCATACACTTACAGGATGTGCTATGAGATATGGTCTGTAGAAGGACTGAGATAACTGATCAGGTGTAATCTTGTCTTTGAGATATTTTGACAATACAGTAGCTATTTCTCAAGAATCTCGACTTCAGAGCTAGAATACAATCCCTACATTCTTAGCCGCTTCGTCTTTTTTTGTAAGTTGAGGAACAATAGTATCATTGTATGTTGGTGTATTTTATTATTAGTTGCCTTCTCAGCAATTTTCTCAGACCTGGACATAAAGAATGCTGCTTTTATGTAGGTAATAGGGTAACAGGTGAATGAGATTAGGGTCCTGGCACACTTGTCATCATTGCTGGAAAATGCAAAGCCTTGGAAGAGGAACTTGGAATTTGAGAAAGCCTCACATATATTTGATTTAATAGTTAGAATGAGCTGAAGTTTGCCTTTGCGCAAGTGCATCCTAAAGGCTTCTATTGCTGTCCATTGGATTAGAAGGGTCACAAAGCAGTGTGGGTAAGGAGGTGAGCTCCTCATCTCGACTGCCTTGCTTACATTTGTAGTTATAAAATTGAGGATTAGGCAAATTGTACTTACCATGAAGGATAATCCCAATTATACCTCACACGAACTATTTGGGTATATCGTTTACCTTATGCAGTATTTCCTATGCTTATCGCTAGGTGGCGCACGTGTACAAAGCTTTAATCGCAAAGCATCACGGGATATCATGACGTAATGACTATGTTCGCCGCCATTTGACGACGTGCGAGAAAGAGTCTGTGCTGTTCACCATGGGTGGGCATTCTCAGCTACTTGGAAGCTGAAGAACAGCAAGGGTGGGAAGATATACCCAAATAGTTCGTGTGAGGTATAATTGGGATTATCCTTCATGGTAAGTACAATTTGCCTAATCCTCAATTATACCTGCACANGTGGTTGAACTCAATGAAGAAACATGTGGAATAAAATACCGGTATCAAATGTTTCTATTTATGTGTCAGCCCTCCCAAGCCCCTCCTACTGGAGAGCATTTCATGTACATTTGTTGTTTCATTTAGAGAAGACTAGAAAGTATTTGTATCTTTTCCTTGTTTTAATCTTTACATTTCATCCAACCATGTAATTTTTGTTAGTGTTTCCCTTTGCCCTTCCCAAGAGAGTAATTTTGGATCCTCCTCATCAGGTGTAACATCTTTGCTAGCAGTGTACAGATAAAATGCACATCACCATTGGGATAGCTGTTGTGTTAAATTGGTTGGGAGATATCTTACCAACATTCTGTGATTGCTAAGAGTCATGTTACCAAATGTGATGCTGAAAATTGATAGCTCGCTGCATGCAACGGACATGTAATCAGACAGTTTTGCATTCACTGTGACACCTTGTTATGATGTATGTGGAAGCTGAATATATATATGTCATCTCAACAAAATTTTCAATGCACAGGCATGTAATGCTGTCTCTCTTTATCTTTTTTGTTAGGCAATACTCTTTCAGTCTTTGAATTTTGATGTGTTGTTGCTGCATGGTTAACTGTAATGGTAAAATTTTTGTTGTATGTAATTTATTAAGATGTCGAGATATCTTTGCAAGTACGTACCCATCTCAATGAAAAACTTGCCATACACTTACAGGATGTGCTATGAGACATGGTCTGTAGAAGGACTGAGATAACTGATCAGGTGTGATCTTGTCTTTGAGATATTTTGACAATACAGTAGCTATTTCTCAAGAATCTCGACTTCAGAGCTAGAATACAATCCCTACATTCTTAGCCGCTTCGTCTTTTTTTGTAAGTTGAGGAACAATAGTATCATTGTATGTTGGTGTATTTTATTATTAGTTGCCTTCTCAGCAATTTTCTCAGACCTGGACATAAAGAATGCTGCTTTTATGTAGGTAATAGGGTAACAGGTGAATGAGATTAGGGTCCTGGCACACTTGTCATCATTGCTGGAAAAATGCAAAGCCTTGGAAGAGGAACTTGGAATTTGAGAAAGCCTCACATATATTTGATTTAATAGTTAGAATGAGCTGAAGTTTGCCTTTGCGCAAGTGCATCATAAAGGCTTCTATTGCTGTCCATTGGATTAGAAGGGTCACAAAGCAGTGTGGGTAAGGAGGTGAGCTCCTCATCTCGACTGCCTTGCTTACATTTGTAGTTATAAAATGTTAAAATTTCTGGGTTGTATCAGGAATTGATGCGCTCTCTTTAGTGTTCAATCCCCCTATAGACCAGGACCCAGAAAAGAATACTTTTCTTCTGAAAACTACCATGAACTTAGTTATTGACCACATATGAGTAGTTGATGAGCAGCTAGTATGTAGAGACTGCTGGGCATTTGAGCGTGAAGTACAAATGTAAACCTGCTACTGTAAAAGGGTGCTCTGCAGGGTGTTAATTGCCCCTAGTCCCAGGGCAGAAGGTGGGATCCCTGGGGATGTATGTGGATAGTGGCTGTAGTGCTGGGGTCAGGATGGCTGGGAGACCCTGTAGGCTGTGTAATTGAATATAGAAATACAGAGTAGAGTGCAGGGGAGGATTCAGAAAATTGTGACTCAGTTGGCTGTGTAGAGAGATGTTAGCTTTACTCCCAAAGGTTGTCCAGGATGACTTTGTAATGATAGGGCTGTTACGTCTTTTTTAACGCAAAAAGAATGGAAGTCTAGAAGATGTTGAATGTCCATTGATTTTAGCCTTTTCCCCAGAAATATTGGTGAAATATCGAGTTGGACTTTTTATTCTGCCATACTTGCATATTTTTGCTTATCTTTGTTTTCATGTAGTTCCATGGTAGTAGGGGGGTCTACAGACTGTTGCCATGAAATCATTTTAATATAGCCTGAAGAAAAAGCTAAAGTCCTCCTCCAACAGAAAGCATCCTAATTTGTGACATGACCTGTGGCGACCCTAACCTCAGCTGTGCCCAGTTATGGTGATATACAGCACAAAGGTGTTCTCACCATCTCAGTCAAACCGCCCATAACTAGGTACAGTTGTGGGGAGCTTGTGTAGTTTTCTAGGCAGCTCAGTAGCTGGCACCTCTGGCATTCATTATGTAACATTTTTCCTCCATTTTGTGTGTTTTACAGGCAAAAACTAGAATCAAGCTGAACTTCCTGGACCAGATGGCGAAGTTCTGGGAACTACAGGTGCGTTTTTGGCTGTGTGTTTGTCGAGAGAACACCTAAAAATCAAGCAGTAGTCTCATTCTCAGAAAAAGATAACTTGAGCAACACTGATTGTGACAAAGTCATGGGGCCTGCCGGAAGACTATCTGCGCTTTCATGCTGGAGCTGCATAAATAAAGTGTCAATGTGATATTTTGTCATTTTGAATGAGTGTTGCTAATTGCAAAATACAAAGAGTGCAACCACTACATCCAAGTTCAAAGCACAACTGTATATAACCATTTTTTAATGGTTCTAAGACCACAATATCTCATTCTTCATATTCTCAGGGTTCTACCTTAAAGATACCGACGGTGGAAAGAAAGCTGCTGGACTTGTATGGACTCAGCAAGGTACAGTTTGTGTTAATGAATATTTCCCCCCAAAATAACACTACTTGTGCTTATCAGATCTAAGTACAGAAAAGGTGTGTCATGTCGACTTGTTTTGTGATTCAAAGGTTTTGAACAAAAATCAAATGTTTGCATCTGTGTTTGCTCAGGTGGTGCAAGAAGAGGGAGGTTTCGAGCAAGTATGTCGGGACAGAAAGTGGTCCAAGATTGCTGTGAAGGTACGGTTCTAAAACCTTTTAAAACATATATATATATCCACCCAGACTTTCCCCATACACAAGAGGCAAAGTATCAAGTGCTTATCACAATTTGTTTTTGTTTGCAAAGCTACATCAATTAAACCCGTTGGTTCTGTTGTCTGATGTTGCATTGTCTCTCCCTGTAAAGCCACGTCAATTAAACCTGTTGGTTCTCCGTATCAGCTGTTATGTGATATTGCATTGTCTCTCCCTGTAGATGAACTACCCTCCTGGGAAGAACGTGGGGTCCCTGCTGAAGGGCCACTACGAGCGCATCCTGTTCCCTTACGATGTGTTCCAGTCAGGCGCAACTCTGGCTCCTGTCAACACGGTACGTGTTTCTGTTGGAATCAGTTTAGATTACTGAAAATGTAAGATTTGCAGTGATAAGTTCAAACTCTTGACCCTCTGCTACAGAGGCAGTGTACTATATACCTACCTACTACTATACAGTATTAGCAAAGTTATAATCGCATTAAAAGCTTCATGGTTTTGTTGTTTTTTTTTCTATAGGAAAAGCAGGATGTGGAGGACAGTAAAGACAAGGACTACAAGCCGCATGGCTTCTCCACACGCATGGGCGGTGCAGGGCCAGGCCGCCGTGGCAAGAGGCCAATGAGGATGGAGGTGAGTTCATCATGGGTAGAATTTTTATCTTGCCAAATGTGCTAGACAGCAAAAGGACTCAACAGTGTGAGTTTGATGGATTTTTGAAGGATGTTACTTCACTATTTATAACAAGTACCCAGACCCAATTCAATGCCATGATTCTTTATCATTCTAATTGAGACAAGATTCTAATCATACCTTTTTATGGTTTTATTCTTACTCTAATTTGTTTATGAAACTGCTTCTTATCCACAGTCTTGAAAGTTTTCACAATTTTCTTGTCAAAGAGCAAAGAGGAGAAACCCTGAAAGCGATGGTTTTCTTTCCACAGTTTTCTATTAGCTGCTCTCATGTGCAATTCACTACTGTGGAACTGTGAACATTTTTCTGCTGTCTTTGATTTGTGTTTAACCTCTGATCTTTGGCCTTTCTCCTCTTGCCTGAAACAAAGACGGGGGCTCAATGTCAAGTCCCAGTGGCCGAGAGCAGCCACGTTAAGAAGGTGATCATAATTCTTATGATGTCAGTGGCATGCAATGTGCAAATTTCGTGTCACCTTCTTTTGTGCTTTGTAGGAAACTATGTACATCTTTTACAAGTGAAAAAATTTGCTTAATCGTGAAACATATGCATTTGCAAAGCAAATAACTGTGGTCTACAGACCTGTCTTAAGCCTCAAAACTGTATATCCATGTTGTTATGGAAAAGATTCCAAGACTTTGTTTAGCTGGCAAACAAGCTTCATTGGCCTAAAATATAAGCAATATTATGTCTTATCAATCATCTTTGACAAAAAGGAGGTTTCTCAGGGCCTTGCCTTCTCATTAACAGAAACCTTTAAGATGTCTTCAAGGTGCAGGTTATTTACACTTACGCGACTGCGAGAGATTTTGCCTATCTCAGCTGCTGCTTCATGACGTAGAGTGGATGCCTCCCTATATCAATGTGCTATAATAAAACATTGTAAAGCTTTCCATCATGAGCTTGGAAACAGGAAGGCATGGGACTTGCTATATTCAATTTTCTGATTTTGCCAAAGTTAGATTTTGAAATCCTTTCGAACTGAGGTGCAGAATTCAGCAAACAGGACATGCTGTCTTCTTTTCCTGCTTGGTGTATCAAAGGCATAATTTGGTCTTGAAAGCATGGACTTCTTTTAAAAGCTGATAGGTAATGGGGATTTAGGCATAGTGGAGTTACTTGGCCATAGTTAAGCAAACGCTTGCCAAAGATAGAAAGATGGTACAATATATTTACTTCATAAGAAAACAAATGTTTGGTGGAGTTTGTCCAGTTTGACTTCCATGTTATGAACTGTTCTGCTGTTCTGTTCTGTTCTGCAGGAGGAGAATATTGACATGAGTGCAAACCCTGAGCTGAAAAAGCTGCAGATTTTTGGCCCAGGCCCTAAGATGATGGGGCTGGGACTCAAGGCGCTGGAGAAGAACCGACTGAAGAAGATGAAAGGTAAGACATGTTAAAGAGCATGCATGTTAGGTTAGCCACAACAGCCAGCATTTGAACTTCCGGAGAGGCAGGGTCACTGACCATTACACTGCACATTCTACTACCTAGTGGATTAGACTTTGAAGAAAAAGATAGAAGCAATGTGTAATTTTGTAGGACTGAAATGGCAACAGAGGGTGAAGTCTGCCATCGCTGACCTTGTGATCATGACATGCAGACACTGTGTAATGAGTCCAGCTCTAACACCCTTGTTTGCCCACAGAAGAGGAGGAGTCTATGAGTGTGAAATCGGAGCCAGCAGTGGAAGTGAAACAGGAGCCAGAGGAGATACCTGCAGAACAGCCTCCACCTGTCGAACCAAACACTCCTGTGGAAGAAAAACCAACCATGGATCAGAAACCGGGTGACCAAAAACCTCCGGAGAGGCGGTCACCACGGAAACTGGACACACCTAAGAAGGAAGGTTCCCCATCTCCGCCCAAGGAGGAGGTCCGGAGGCTGAGGGACAGGAGCGGAGCTCTGGCTGCAAACTTTGTAAGTACAGCAAGCAACTCTGCACAGCAGGGCTCAAAATACATGTCTGCAACCTGAAATTTCAAGAATATTATTCTGGTGTTGGAATCATTCTGAAGCAAAGTTGAACTGTAAATTCAAATTGCCTGCAGTCACTCCAATGTCTTTTTAATTCCAAGTAAAATTTCTGAATATTTGCAATATTGCAGGTTACAGGAAAGAGTATTTTGAGTCCTGTTTTGATACTGTTACTACCAGGAAAGGATGTCAACACACAGCCAGAAAAACACTGAAAGTGATTGCATTGAAATTCGTAAACAAGAAACTTACAGGTGCCATTTATTCTGGTGTTGTTGACATTTTTCTGATGGTAGTGATGAAGAAAAGAGCACTTAGTGTTAGTATAGTTGTTAGATTTAACATTTTTCAGTTTATGATGACAGTTTTTCTATCTTTTTAAGGGCGTGTCTTCAGGCATGTCCGTCCGACGTCGACATGGGGTAAATATAGTTTTCTCTCGCATTGTCGTGGTGACCATTCCACGCCATTGTGTCGTATGTGTGCCCAACATGGCGAGCCTGGAATATGCCCATGTGCTGCATCCCCCTCTACACTCAGCTCCACACCTCCTCTTACACAAAATTCCACATCTTCCTCTACACTCAATTCCACCTTCTTCCTTTACATTCAACCCAGTGTCACAGTCCTTTATGTCAATCTAATTATGTCCACATTTTCCTTCTGCAATAAATTCAACGTCTCATTCAACCCACCTGTTTCCCACATTTTATCATACCTTCTTTTCAAGCTTCCCTTTCCCAAGCTGAATTTGTCAAATTTCCCAAGCTGAATTTGTCATCTTTCTACACAGAATTTTGATGTTAAATCTTTGGACCGCACTTAACTGCATGGACTGATTCCCATTCCCAGAGTCCAGTGACTAAATTCTGTGGTGGTGTTTTTTTTTTAAATTTTTACTCCTGCCCTTGGAAGCTTTTTCTTTTGTTTGAGGATGGGAAGTGAAAGTAGAATTATTTTATTTTGGCTCAAAAGTTTGAGACGACCCCCAGGATTGTTGTTACCTTGACACAGTGATATGGCATCACTGACCTGTTACCCCTGACCTGTGCCCTGTAACCCCTGCCCCATAACCCCTGCCCTGTTCTTGTGCAGATTGACACGTACATCTGCCACTCATGCGGGAAGGGAGATGATGAGAGCCACCTTCTGCTGTGTGATGGCTGTGACGACGCGTTCCACACCTACTGCCTCATTCCTCCTCTCACTGAAATCCCAAAAGGGGACTGGAGATGCCCCAAATGTGTGGCTGCAGTAAGTATACAAACTTCCTACAATATCAAGACCTATAACTCCAAGCCAAATGTTTACCAAAAGGTTCTGCTTCAGTGTTCTTATATTCAAAATCAGCAACCAACAACTGAAAAGGGTAGGATGATGACTTTGGCATTATGTACTGTTTGAAAGATTTTAAAATGTATTTGTTCACTTAACATCCAAGTCACACAACATGAGGTAAACTTGTTGGTCACAGGTGAGACAGCTCAACATACTTTACCAACAGAATGTATAACTATACATTTTCTTTGCAGGAATGTTCGAAGCCATCCGATCCTTATGGGTTTGAGCAGGCTCGTAAAGAGTACACCCTCCAGTCCTTTGGGGAGATGGCCGACCAGTTCAAGCAGGACTACTTCAGCATGCCTGTCCATGTGAGTACTCTCGTCTGAAACACTTTCCTGACTCAAGTTGTTTTCCTGGATTCTGAACATCCATATGCACTGATTGTCTTGATTTTGTAATTGTCATATGTGAGCAGAAAGTCTGCATGGCCAGTCTAGCAACAGGCACCAGAGAGGTCAGGCTGCCAGGAGGGAGAGTAATAGTTTTTCAGAGTAAAATGAAAAAATAAGGACCATACTTTTTTTTCACAATTTCTGACTTCTGTGTGCAGTCCTCCTGCAAAACTTCCTATAGAGCTACTGGAAAACCTTGGAAGTGATTGAAACCGGTATTGCTTCCATAACACAGAAGAATACTAGGTCCCTGAGGTTAATGTGGCTGAGGTTCTCCTTTCTGTGTTTCTTAGATGGTTCCTTGTGAGACAGTGGAGAAGGAGTTCTGGCGGCTGGTGAACTCGATCGAGGACGACGTGACAGTTTCGTATGGCGCTGACCTCCACACCATGGAGCATGGCAGCGGCTTTCCCTGCAAGTCCAACGGGAAGGCCATGAGCCCAGAGGACGAGGTAAGGTGTTAGTTTGCAATGAAGTTCAGCTTGGAAGTTCATCTTTTGTTGGTAGAAATCATCCCGAAACAAAATTGAAGTCCCGGTAACACAAGAATTTCCAACACAAAAGTTGGACTTGCAGGGTTTTAATGTAATTTTTGTTTGTTTGCAGGAGTATGCTATGGCTCCATGGAACCTGAACAACCTTCCTGTGCTGGATTCCTCCGTCCTGTGCCACATCAGTGCAGACATCTCTGGCATGAAGGTAATCTCAGCAAACACATGGGCTTAAACATACGTAATGGTGAAATAATGCAGCAATTATGTGCAATACTTGTTAAATTGTATGTAATTTTTGTCCTCAACAATATTTCTTAGGTCTCTCGTAACAGGCATTGAAAAAATTGTTGCCGTGTGCATGAACTAACCCTGTTGTAATGAAAGCATTGTGAAGCTGTGTTATTGAAAAGTTGGCTGCGCGTGTTTCAGATCCCGTGGACATACGTCGGGATGTGCTTCTCCTGTTTCTGTTGGCACAACGAGGACCACTGGAGCTACTCTATCAACTACCTACACTGGTGAGTGCTACACAGTACACACTACCTGGTACACATAGCTACAACTCTGTGTGGTACCAAAGATACTTACCTTTCCTTGCAGCATTCTTCAGTGGTGAAGGTGTTGTGTTGATGTTTGTTGTTTATCATCTCCAGGGGTGAGCCAAAGACATGGTATGGTGTGCCTGGTTCAAGTGCAGAGCATTTTGAGTCTGTGATGAGGCAGAATGCACCAGAACTGTTTGTAAATGCTCCAGACCTTCTACATCAGCTGGTCACCATCATGAACCCCATGATTATCATGGATGGAAAAGTGCCGGTAAGTAGACATGCGCAAGTATATGCACACAAGCATACATGCACAAGTGCACACACCCTTGTAACTGTCATCATGCCAGTCTTGACCACCAGGAAAATTTCAAGACCAAATACCTGTATGGCTATACATGTACACATGTTGCCAGAAATAGAGAATGATCCAATAGTGTGAATATCTTGCAATTACTGTGAATTCAGTTACAAGTCTAAATAATTACAGGATTTCCTGGCTCCTTTGGGTGTTTTTTCTCTTTACTAATTTATGGTGATATCTGTGCTGACAGGTGTACCGGACCAACCAGTGTGCAGGCGAGTTTGTGGTGACATTCCCACGTGCATACCACGCCGGCTTCAACCAAGGCTACAACTTTGCAGAAGCTGTCAACTTCTGCCCTGCTGACTGGGTAAAGGAGTACATTTCATTTGGCACATACAAGGCTAGCCAGCCAAGTGGCTGACTCTGTTGGAAAATGATTTAAACAATGGAAATAGAATGGAAAATATTTCAATTAGCAAATAATGGGGGAGCTTCTGGCATTAAAAGAACCCAACACAGTAAGAAGAAGAGTAGGGAACTGCTATCAACACATAGTAGCTGCATTTCACCCTGAGATACTTGCACCATGCTTCACCAAAATGACGATGAATTAAAACAAAACTGTGCATTATTTTCTTAACAGTCCATTTAAACAGTGAATCGAGTAAGTACTGGTAGTCTGTATCTGAGGTGTTGGATAAAGAAGGGCAACATGCAAGGTTTGTTGAAATTGATATACATGTATTGTATTTCTGTGTCCTGCAGCTCCCCATTGGCCGACAGTGTGTTAAGCACTACAGTGACCTGAAAAGGTTTAACGTGTTTGCTCACGAGGAGCTGATATGCAAGATGGCAGCGAACCCAGACGCACTGGGACTGGACATTGCAGCTGCCACCCACAAGGAAATGCTGCACATGGTGGAGACAGAGAAGAAGTCCAGAAGGGCTCTCCTTGAAAGGGTAAGATGTCTCCCGCTGTTTGTACGTGTTAGATAATGTCTTGGGAGCATAAGATACGGCACATGACAAATACAGAAAAGTGAGGCAGTTTTAGTCTAAGGGGTAAAGCATTTTGAAGGATTTTATAGTGGTTTCACCTGAATGTAAAAAAGTTAGAAATATGACTAGTGTCCACCATGTCAGTTTCATAGTCAAACTTTGAAGCTTTGATTCACACAAGAAAGCAGATACCTGTTTGGTCATAAGACAATATTTGTGGAAAAGGTCAAAAGGTTTTTCCAAAAATTTGGTATGTTGTGTTGTTCTTGTGTTGGATTAAAAGCTTGAATTTGATTAGTGCTGAAAAAGATGATTGTTACATTAACTCAGGGCACAACGGAGGCAGAGCGTGAGGCATTTGAGCTGCTCCCTGATGACGAGCGTCAGTGTGACGCCTGCATGACGACATGTTTCCTGTCAGCCGTTACCTGCCCCTGTAGTCCCAACAAGCTGGTGTGTGTTCGACATGCCGACCGTCTGTGCGACTGTGGGCCAGCCAGGCATGTGCTCAGGTATGGAACGCGTTGGTTTGTTTGTTTGCTGACGGTCCATGGAACTACAACATGTATTTTGAAGTCAAATTTCTCTGTCCATGACATAGTCAGAAAAAGATGCAAATTCATACCGGGTCCCAGTCCCAAAGATTGTCTAGAAAATTAAGTCCTAGATCAAAGCATACTTTGTCATGATTGGATATGCAACCAATGCTTCTGCTGGACTCCATTATTCAGATTGTTCTGCTTGAAGTGACTTCTTAAAGTTATTTCTTGAATGTCTGGCACAAGATTTGTTGCCAAGGAGATTTGGATCACCTGACGTATTTGTGATGCTAACGATCTCCGGTACAAAGCAATGACTCCAGACTAATTTGAGCTCCCCAGTTTTAGAAAAAAACATGATTTGCTGGCGTTAGGACGGAGGAGTAGATTTACCTCTTCACTGTTTCTACCTCAGAATCTATATATCTTTTCTGCGGGTAGGGCAGGTCAACAGAAATTGTGAGTTTGTGTTTTCTTTCTACAAGGATCCAGATGAGTGTTGAGTTATTAATTTTTCGTTGTTATTTTTCTGCAGATATCGGTACACGTTAGACGAGCTGCCCTCAATGTTGCACCGACTGAAACTGCGGGCAGAGTCCTACAACATCTGGTCCAGCAAAGTCAAGGGCGCGATGGAGGCTCCACAGCTGGACAAACTAGGTGAGCTGCAAAGTCTTGGTCAATTCTGAAGTAACAGTTTTCAATGTCTACATGCCAAAATATTCTGGCAATTACCTGTTGATTAAGTATGGTATTTGCAATGGTGTGTGCTCTTATACGAGTGCTGTCTTTTTCTAGGTGGAGTAATTGAAATATTGCTTGATTGTCACATTAAAGAAGTAAGGGACAAGTAAGCACAGCAGTCCCCAAGTACAATGTCTGCCAAAACTTAATGACAAGCTGTACTGCCTTTCTACAGACCTTGAACCTGAAATTCTATAGTTGACTTCAAAATTTTTAAGAAGTATTACAAAAAAGATTTTATTGTTTTCTCTGAACATTTGTTACATACATAACCATACACAAATATGTAGTTGCATTTGTACACCCACATTACAGAAGTGCAGATACATGTAATATTTCCAGTCCTAATTTGATTGATAAGTATGTCTACTTAAATTCACCCTCTGCTGTTTGTTGTTTTCCTGTTGCAGAGTTGACAGAGCTGAAGGAGCTCATCACTGAGGCAGAGGAGCGGAAGTTCCCGGAGAACGAGCTGCTGCACACGCTGGAGTCTGCTGTAGCCGAGGCAGAGAAGTGTGCCAGTGTGGCGGCTCAGCTGGTCAGCAAGAAGCACCGCACTAGGTACAAAAACAACCAGTTAATAATCATCACAACATTGTTAGTTTCAGACTCCTACCCAAAGGCCAATTGCAAGTACAAAAAGAATATTTAGTAAAGAAAAGAAACAGTGTAACAATATACTGTAAGGGGATGTAAAAGCTAATTCCTAAAACCTACTATATTTTCAGAAACAAGACCAACTGTGACACCAAATATGTGGCGAGGCTGAGTCTGGAGGAGCTGAAGTGCTTCATGGAGCAGGTTCAGAGTCTACCCTGTATCATCCAGGAGGCAGAACTCATACAGGTAGCTATGCAGGCTATGCTTATACATGTAAGTACAATTGGGCTGTAGTTAGTGTGTGTTGATGTGTATCTAACGTGTGTGCCTGTACACTGTAGGACCTGCTGAACCGTGTGGAGTCGTTCCAGCAGGAGGCCCAGGCTGCCCTGCAGGACGAGATGCCAAACTCAGAGAAGCTGCACCGACTGCTGGAGATCGGAGTGGGGCTGGATGTGGAGCTGCCGGAGATGCCCAAACTCAAACAGGTCTGTGTGAATGATTGTGTACAAGTGGATGTGTGCATGCATCTGCATGTGTTCATTATCTAGGTGCACGTCTGTGTGTGCGTATGTTTATCTTTCATAAGAATTACAATCTGAAAAATGCAGGTAACTACAAGAAGAGTCTCTGAATGTGTATTGTGTAATATTAAAACATTGAGTTTGTTCCCCCTCCAGGAGCTCCAGCAGGCGCGCTGGTTGGACGAGGTCAGGGAAACTCTCTGCACGCCCTCCCAGGTCACCCTGGACGCCATGCGGAAGCTGATTGACTCGGGGGTTGGTCTAGCCCCACATCCAGCCGTTGAGAAAGCCATGGCAGAACTGCAGGAGCTGCTGACTGTCAGTGAACGCTGGGAGGAGAAGGCTAGGATATGCCTACAAGCAAGGTTTGTGTGTGTCAATACATGTATGTTTATTTGTAAACATATTATCCTGGAGCAGTTGGACTGAGTATTTTTTTTAGCAAGATTTTAGTCTGTAAATTTTTATAAACATTTCTGACTGATCATAAGGATTTCTCTCTATATGTCCTTGAAATAGTACAGCTTGACTGTTATGACCTGTTATTAATGAAGTACAGGTAAAGATGTATAGAGATATATTTTTATAATTCCCTAGGTGTGTTGTTAGACTTTTTATATGAAGCTTGTAACAAAATGTGCAAGTATGTTACCTTATTTGATCATGAACTTGTGTATGATTTATTCTGCAGACCACGTCATGTCATTGCCACCCTAGAAGCCATCATTAATGAAGCTAAGACCATCCCAGCCTACCTGCCCAACACATTGGCACTTAAGGAGGCTCTGAGGAAAGCCAAGGAGTGGACAGCTAAGGTGGAAGCCATCCAGGTGGGCAGATTTCCTTATGTTTGGCTCTTCTGGCTTCTTTTGGTGAGGCTTGGAATAGAGTATTCCCTCTTTTCTTCATCTACATCAATTAGTGAAGAAAAGTGGATGCTTAAGCTAATATTTCATTGTAACTGATGTATATTTTTGGTAAAGCAAGAAGAAATTCCTTGTCCAAAGATGTTATATTTGTGGGGAAGTGCATAGCCACCCCATATTGAACCAAATTTGTATACTTGATATATGAATAATTATTAATCTATCTTGCATGAATGCACCACTATATATTTAACTATTAGAATTTTGCACCTCTAAAGAAAATAAGTGTATTCACTTTTGTTTGACAAAATTGGTGGACAAAATGTGGCTTCAAAGACAGTTAATAAGAAAGTCTGTGCCCCACCATATGAAGTTGGAATGCCAAGACTTTAACACAACACACTTCAGGAGTTCTTAAGTACAAAGACAGGAGGGGAGACGAAGTGGTGACGGTTGACTGTTATTGACGCTGCATTTCTTCCTTCTAGGGACCGGTGACCCCCCGCCAAGGCCGGGTCGCTTCAGCTGGGGAAAAGGGCACCAGACATGATGTAGGTTGTAGGGCATAGGTCGGGTTAGGGCATAGTTCATAGGGCATGCACGCAGGCTGGAACTGTGTTCACCATAGCATCCAAGCATGCTGAAGTGAGCTGGCTTAACCAGTGTGCATGCTTCTCTTCATAGGATCTTGCGATTCTGATGAAACTCTAGTCACTTCAGGAAGACAGTGCATACTTGGAATTCCTTTGGACAGAAGTAATGATACTCTGATTAAAAACAGGGATCTTTTAAGCAGCATCATGATACAAGCTAGAATTATGAGAAGGAAGTGGGAATGAAGGGCTTCAGAGTATGGAGTGACTTACGATGAAGACCAGAGAATAGTGGTAGAATATTGAATAGACTGCATTGTGTAGGTTTGTCTGTTTTATCCTTACCTTACAAATAACATGTACAGTTAGAATAGAATGTTTGTTTTGATCCAGCATTGCTAGGCTTTGACTTAAATGACCAAAAATTACCCATTCTTACTGCAAAATTTAGAGCACTGCTCTTGGATATTATGAAAATTTCATTAAAGTCTGTTTTTGTCCGATGTTTGACCAATTTTTCAAGCTATGGTGTTTTACCAGTTTTACCAGATTTTGGCATTCTTGCCCAGTTTTAACCATATTCACCAATTTTTACCCCAGAACTCTGAGCATTACCCCTACCTGGACATCCTGGAGTCTCTAGTGATGAAAGGCCGTCCCATTCCGGTACGCCTGGAGCAGCTGCCGCAGGTGGAGTCGCAGGTAGCAGCTGCGCGCTCATGGAGGGACCGCACCGCACGCACCTTCCTCAAGAAAAACTCACCGTATACTCTTGTGGAGGTGGGTTCCTGTTTACATGATTAATTTTATAGGTCCCTGAGTTGTGTTTTTGGGCAGTTTTTACTGTAAATACTACATACACAATGTCTGTCCTTGCAATGATCTATATCAAGAAAAACTTTTAAGTAAGCTCTGACTTCATTGAGATACATTTTCTTCATTTACCAAAGGTGCTGTCTCCAAGAGTGGATATTGGTGTCTATACCAGTAGCAAGACAAGACGTAAGAAAAACAAGGAGGCTTGTGCTGAAAAGGAGAAGGAAAAGGAGAATACCAACATCTTTGACTTTAGAATGGAGGAGGTCAGAGACCCAGCTACCATTGTAAGTAACCTACAAATCGTAAGTATCATTTCTGCACTTTTTAAATCGGTTGTTCACTAATAAGGACTTGCCCTGTTACTTCCTAGATATTTTCACATTGAGAGGCACAAAATAACCATTCATTCTCACAAATCTAACAAAATCATACAAGTTAAAAAAATTGCACAAAGCTAACATTTCACAACTTTCTTTACTTTGAACCATTGTTGCTGTTCTTTGTTGTTGCTTTAGTTTAGTTGTTCATTTTTATTATACCAACTTTGTGTGCTTTGCTGCTTTGGTTATTGTTTGCAGTCTGATTTGTCCACATTCATCCATTCTTGTTTTGTTTCACATATCCACACAGTGAAATTACATGACATCTAAGTGTTCTGTTCATGTCTTCTCTGCCAGGTTGCCCAGTTTAAGGAGTCTGAGAGGAAGGAGGTTGAAGCAATGCGGGAATTACGAGCCAGGAACCTTCAGAAGCAGCGGGAAGTTTGTGAGGAGGGTGCAGAGCACAAGTTCTGCCTGTGTAGGAAGGGGGTGTCAGGTTACATGCTCCAGTGTGAGCTGTGTAAGGACCTCTTCCACACGTCCTGCGTGCCGTTGCCCAAAGCCATCGCCAGTAAGAACAAGAACATGTCCCCTCTGGCAGCTGCACAGGCCACCAAGGAGTTGAAGTTCCTGTGTCCGCTGTGCATGAGGTCACGACGACCAAGACTCGAAACGATTCTATCCTTGCTCGTGTCACTACAGAAACTGCCAGTCAGGCTGCCCGAGGGTGAAGCACTCCAGTGCCTGACAGAACGGGCGATGTCGTGGCAGGACAGGGCCAGACAGGCACTAGCAACAGACGAACTATCGGGGGCTCTGGCTAAGTTGTCTGTGCTGAGCCAGCGAGCTGTCGAGGCTGCTGCTCGGGAGAAAACAGAGAAAATCATCACTGCGGAACTGCAGAAGGCTGCAAACAATCCTGAGCTGCAGGGGCACATACAGAGCGTGCAGCAGAGTGCATTTGCAGGGTCTTCAACATTCACAGAGAATGGGAGAACATCGCCTGATGCACTGGTCCCGTCGGTTAGCCCAGTGAACCCAGCTGCCAGCATGCCAACCATCCTGCAGAGTGGAGGCAGTGCTGCACAGGCACTAAGTGCTGCTGCTGCAGCCTACACAGCAGGAACCCAGCCTGGGGCCATTAGTCAGATGCCGGCAACAGCTTCAGATGACAGCCAATCAGAGCGGGAGGAATCCATGTCATCATCCTTCAACTCTGAGCATGCCTACTCCTCAGCTTCCAAGGCTCAGCCTGGTGAGACTCAAATCTACTTCCAGGCTTGAGGGATTCTTGCAGTGAATGTTACTATTTGGCCACTATAACAAAAGCACAATTTTAAAGAGCCACACTACTGTTAGGCCTTAAACAATGACATGTTGTAGGTTGCAGGAACTACCAGATACACAATGCTATACATGTACCATCTTGAATGAGCTACTTTAGTCAAGTTGAACATCTTACTCCTGACCCAAAATGTTGTAAGGTTGTTTCTTCTTTCCCTGTGCAGGAACCCCGAGGAAACACCCACGTAAGACGGCACACGTTCCTCGGTCGGACGAGCCACCTGTGCTGGAGCTGTCGGAGCTGGCAAAGGCTCAGCTGGAGGATCTGATGATGGAGGGAGACTTGCTCGAGGTGTCGCTGGACGAGACACAGCACATCTGGCGCATCCTGCAGGCCTGCCTGCCCAAACAGGAGGACTCCTCCATCCTCCACTTCCAGGTAAGCCATTCTCCAGAGCACTTCATCCTTATCTCCATCCTACAGGCCAGTCTGCTTGTACCTTGCATTCTAGGTGATCTACACTGATTGATGGTACAAGATGTAACTAAGCAAATCGTAGATGTACAACAGGAAACGTTTTGCAACCAACAGGACTTACTTACCACAGATGTCTTAAAGTAGATTCAATTCATTTCCTTCAGGAGGATGAAACTGTGACCCGAGCAACTGCTGCCAAGCCGAAACCCAAGGAGAAGAAGAAGATCATCAAGCGGAAGAAGGAAGAAAACATTGAGCTGGAGAAGCCAGGAGAAGAGATGGACAAACCCAAGAAGAAGAAGATAAAGATTAAGAAGGAGGTGGTGGAGAACAACAAGCCTCCTGAAGTTCCTGAGAAGAAGAAAAAGAAAGTGATGAAGAAGAAGGAGAACAAGGACCCAATGAAGGAGCGTGAGATCCAGGTGAAGAAGGAACGGGAGGAGAAGATGATCGTGAATGTAGATGGAGACAGTGATCACCAGGAGGAGGAGGAGGATGACCAGGACTGTTCAGCAAAGCGCTGCCTGCAGCCTACAGGTCAGCATCAGGATAACATCGCTTTTTGTATGAACATAGTTTGACAAGTGTAAAGATTATCATGAAAGTTCATCTGTGTTGGTAGTAATCATAGTGAAACGTTAAACTTTATTCCAACACACTATTTACAGGGATCAAATTTTCAGCGACCACTGTCGCCTTCATCAGGATAATTAATGACCAATCACTAACATAAAAAGTTTAACGTTTCACTAAGTGTAAAGATTGATTGGTTGATCAATCGATTGATTGGTTTATTGATTGAATGAATGGTTATTGCCCATACAGGTGATGAGGTGGACTGGGTTCAATGTGACAGATGTGAGGAGTGGTTCCACCTCGTGTGCGTTGGGTTGAAGCACCAGCCGACTGATGACGAGGAATACGTCTGTCGCTGCTGCAAGCTCAAACAGCAGAAGGCCGCCAAACGCGCGGAGAAGAGGAAGGACACAGAATCAAGCTCATCAGCCCCCAGTCCTCGGGCGAGATCAATCAGCTATAGTAGGGAAAACAGCAGCACAAGTTCCACTAGCGGTAGCATGGATGTGACTTTGAAACATACTGTGTCAGAAGCCACGCCTATCACACAGGGAATGGAAGAAACAACTGAAGAAATGACAGAGGAAACATTTGTCTCAAACGGAGAGGACAAGTTGGCAGAAGAGCTGGAGGAGCCTGTGGTTGTGGAGGGAGAAGAAGTCATGGAGACTGCAGAACCAGAGGACGGGGAGCAGCCGCAGAGTTTAGTGGAACTGTTGTCCAAAGACTCTGTCGCAGCATCAACCAATAAAATTCCCCTCATGGAGGTCTCGTGACGGCACACCTAAATTAACACCAGAATGTAATGTTATAGAGTTGAGAGATGCACCATAGTTCAGCTGTGCTCATGTGTAGACCTGTAATGGCTGTAGCACACATTTCTACCACTAGGATGGACTGTATATTTTCCTTATGCCTTTATTTTCAACCACCATGTGTATGATGGAATAGTGCAGCCTAAGTAACAGATGAACATTGATTTAAACTGCTGAAAATTCTCTAAAAGAAAACTAAAGCATATCCGATGAGCTCCTAGGGGTTTATACATGTATGTGGATGTGAGGATGTGGAGGGTAAATCTATTGTACAGCATTCTGTGTATATGTTCTACCTAAAGAAGCCATGGAATTCCTGCAATATTGTATACACTGGCCCCACTGCCACCTCACCTTCACCTGTAATGTAGACCTTTCCTAAAGTACCTTTTAAGAGATGGGGAAGCAGACTTGTTACTTAGATAACTACCTCCAGGATTTTTTTCAGTAGTAACTGCTGAAATTTACTGTGTTTTGCCTGTCCCTCTGCTCCTTAAGTTGCCAGTATTAGGACTAGAAACACTGGGCATTTTAAGCTTGGAAAGATACTAGAAGCACAGGAGCTTATTTTGGAAGCCAAATATACATGTTTTGTATGCTAGGACAAAAGTGATTCAGGTGGAAACAAGCTGATTCATTCAATGTTGTGCATTTTTACCGTACAGCCAGTGAGAATCTGAAAGGTAGGGTCTCGACATGGTGCTCTTAGATTACAAGAAGTGACTTTTTGAATTTAAAGTAACCAGTGTTTTGATGAAAATTAAGCTGGGATACTGGTAATGATGTTATGCTCGCTGCTTGGTAGCATAACAAATCATCCCATACTGTCATTCTCTACATGTGTTTTCACTGAACTTACACAAGATGTTACTTTTTTTTCCTTCAAAAAATGTTCATTTTATGTTCATAATGAACATGGCACTCTGTTCGTTAAAAACATTGTCTTAAGTCCATGAAGTCATTCAAATAGGAAACATCAAAATTAAGTTTTGTAGTATCAACTGATTATTGCCACGAAACATTCTGTGGCTTTGATGTTGCTGATGAGAAGAAATGTAAACACTTTTGTCCAGGGTGGAGACAAAAATGTACAGAGTAGACGTGACTTACTTGGTTTAGATTAGATCTTTTTTTCTGACAGCTGATGTACAGTTTTCGAACTCTGTCCTTTGCTGCACAGACAGCAGCACAATGTTGCTTCTCAGAAAACCCCTCGTTCCTTGAAGACGCTTCTCTGCAGTAGTCGTCTCGATGGTTGTTGCCTGTGGCTGCCACGCTCAAGAGAGTACAGACTTTATGTAGTGGATACATAGTAGTTGTAGTGGTGCAGACAACATAGTCATTTGTAATGAATGATACCATGTAGCAACACAAGCTGCTCCTGTTCATGTGGTACATGGGCAAGCTTTTGCAACCAGCATGTTTCTCGGCCTTTCCTGACCTGCCTTGGCTAGATTCTTGTGCAGGAGTATGTTGGGTGTCAGGGAGGAGATTGTAATTATTAAAACACTGAACATTCATCTGGCTGGGCGTGTCTTTGTGTTGTGCTGTGTCAGATATGTTGTATTTACCAGCCTATGACACCAAAATACAACATTTTTTATCATCTGCATAAGAAATAGTGTAACTCAATAAACATTAAGATTTACACCACACATACATCCTTTTGAAGATATTGAACATCAAACCATGAAGACCCTTACTTCCAGCCTAGGTCAGCTCTTGATTCCTGACACCTGGTAATTCAATTAAATGTTAGCTATCCTGCTCGTGACGTCAGTGACCATGGCAGCTGGTTTGGAACATGGCAAAAAATATTTTGGAAAAGTAAAACAGTGCTGATAGTCATCAGGATTAATTTTACTTTCTGCATCACTTATATGCACCTCTCACTCACACCCGTAGCGAACCCATGCATCACACTGAATGAACACACTGACTCATCATGTAGGGCAGGTGTGACCGTGTGCCTGGACACACGCCTGAAATTGGCAATTTCAGACCTCCAGAAAATATTTGGGTATTGCTAAATTTACTGGAACAACCAAGGCGATTGCATGCCTTGCTAACACAGACACGGTGTGGTTGGAGGGTCATAGTCTCCACCAGACTCCTTTTGCAGGCTAAATAAAAAGTAGAAATCGACCTAAAATGGGATATGATTGGCCAGAGAAGCTCCATTTTTGCCGTTCAAGTGAACGTATCAGTGAACGTGTCATGTATCTGGTAAGGCCATGTACTATCATCGAATATTAGTTCTGAATCTTTGCCCCATATTTTCAAATGTAAACATTATGTTTCTTGTGGTGGTACTATACATATGCTGCGTAACCATTTTGTTGAAGTAGATCAAGACACCACGTTTTCTTCAGTCCTGTAGGTAGCTGATCGATGATCGAGGTTGAAAACGAGCTTCTATTGGATTTTCCTGAGCTAAATACAATGTCCAAGACACGCAAACACACACGGTTTAAAGTCACGAATTCGTAAGGTACGCAGTTCCTGCTGCAGTACCCAGCGCTTTACGGGTGATGGACCCTAGAATTTCAGAGTATTGTCAAGGACGTCTGAGGTCGTTCACCCTATAATAGTATCCTACCACGCGTGGTCGCCACTGCCCCAGTCTGCTGGTGAGACGTGCACAGCAAGCTTAGCCGGAGACACACCTCACGTCTACTTGGAGAAGAGCCAAACACCACAGGCCTACCCGGGGGATTGCCGGTTGTCAACAGCTAGACACAAATGAAGCCGCCTAAAGCAGTCTATCGCCTTTTCTGGGTCCTGAGTTACAACTCAATTGCGGCTGTGGACAGACTAAAAGACTCGAGCGTACCAATGCAGACTGTGGGAACCAAAGTGGTTGTATCGTTACTATATCAAAGTACAGTCCCAGTCAGACACTCTAACCTCTCGGCTAAAGGTCTAGACCCGTTTGCCGGATCTGTTGGTAGCGCCTATCCTGTTACACATGTTTTAGAAGTAAACGCAGCACATACTTTAGAGGTAGATGCACTACTCATCATTTAAGGGTCGGTATTTTGCGGTTCTCGCGTGGCCCTGAGATGTTCAGTTTATTAATAGGGGGGCTGCACGTGTACAGCTTGGTGTTTGGGTAATCTTTATACAGTTTGTCGAACTCGAAGCGAGTAATTATTAAAACACGGAGCGCAGTGCTTTTATTATTTCGGTGGGTGATAGTGCAAAATGCGACTTCTATTGGATTCAATTGTGTATACCATTTGATTTCATAGTTGAAAATGATGCACGACATAAAAGTATATATACAAACACTTTTTTTTTAAATTCGTTCTTTACAAATTCATTGAGTGATCTTGGGTAGCTCAGCGGTCGCAGCCTCTAGTGGCTAGGTGGTGTAATAGGTAAAATTATAGGTAATAATTCAAGCGTTTCTAATTGCTGCAAAAGCCTCAGTTTCGACACTAACCTGGTAGCCTTGTGAGTGACGTCAGTCGAGTACGAGTACTAACACACTAGTGTCTGCACTTCTTGGGTACAGAAATAAAAGAAATTATGTTGGATGCTTGATTTTGGCCCTATTTTGAAAATTGTCGCGCGCATCCACGACTGGCGTAAGTTTCCTGTTTTTGTTGCGCGTATTTTTTCACTCTTACATAAGATTCAGACTCTGCAGATAATTTCATTCATAAAATGTAATTCCTATATAGGCCTAAGGGAGCTGTTGGACGCTACAAACATGTGGACAAGAAGCCAGAGCCGTACTGATTTTGTGCCTAGTTACTGACGATAATGACAGCTCCGACGCACGACGTTACGTAATACATCATCATCATCATTACAATCAGCATGGTCACTTACGTAATACACTTGTTGCGGCAAATTGTCACTGGCTTCTTTTGCTCTCACAGATAGTCACTCCAGCCTGACGTGACGGCAAGAGTCGTAATCAGTATGTGGGTGGCGCACATCACACGCAGTAAGTCCCGTTTTATTGGCGTCATGAAACACTGTGACTGGACACGTAGTTCCGTAGTACATGATGTAGTAGATCTGATGATGATTAGATCTCAGTCAAGGAGTCTCCAAGGGAAATCAAGTCTTTCAATGATTGTAGGACAACATCCTCTCTGACAATTCTACTCAACTTTTCTACGTAGTAGTCTGCTTTGTTCTGATATATCAACTGTTACACACAGAAACAAAACATTTTAGTGGTAACTTTATATTTAATTTGTCCTTGTTGCTTCTAACTTCTCTAAGAGAATTTTTTATTAGGATTTTAATAGATGACCCTGAATTTAAAAATGCTTTGATGTTCTCTGGTCACTACCTGATGTTAGCCAAGTTCTGTACTGTTCACTGAAGTTTACAACGGTCATATAATACTTAGTGAGCTAATACATGTCCTGAGGGTAAAGGGCCACATCAATATACTAGTAGTTTTCTATGATTTTAGCCATAGAGCTGAATTGCTCATAGATTTTGTGATTTCTCGATTTGCTTATTTTCAAGCAGTTGTGTGGCTCGCCATATTTTGTCCCTCAAGTTTCGCCGTCTCTTTTTGTTCCAAAAGCAAGGTTTTTTGAAGTTAGTGTGTGTGTGTCCCAGGCGCGGTGCAGACTGGGAGCCTGTTTTTGCCGCCAGCTGGGGCCGAATGTTGCCGAAGACGGCCGAACATGACGTCACGACCCAGCTGGAGCCGAGGGTTACCGGAAATGGCCGAACATGACGTCACGAGCATGGAAAACAGGGAATGGAAGAGGCGCAGAAACAGTCATGGCGACCCTGAATAGTAGCATAGAACGCTGTAGGGGCCAGCCCTGGGCCGTCTGGGCCGATACGGCTCCCACCGCCGATGGAGAAGGTACAATACATTCCAAAGATTGCTCCCAGGTTCATAATTGGTGTGCCAAAATTGGCACGTTGTAGCAAACGTTGCGCGAAATGACCCTTTGCTGTCAATCTAACCTGAGCTCTTGTCGTTTTTGCCCGTTTCAGGCTCCGATCTGGAGGAAAATTCGGTCCCCGGGCGCGAAGTTGTCCGCTTCAAGAAAGAAGGTACACATGTGGGGGAACTGGTCCAGGGTTAAACTTGAGTTTGGGGCCAGGGTTCGGGAGTTTTGGCCCGGGATGGCCACAGAAACATCAAATCCACTCGTCCCCAATGGGCCTCTTTTTTATTCAAATCTCCTTTTCAACATGTGTGCCCCTTATCTAGGGCAGTGCCCCAGCTCAGGAAATAATTTCATATTTTATAGATAATCAACCAGAATTATTGTTACGGCTATTATATGCCAGTTATGTTGTGTTATTATGTTAGATAAAACTGTTATATACTGGGTTGTACACTGGTTTATATGATCAGTAACAACAGTGTTTAGATATAGTCTAGCATCATATTGACTTGTCAAGATAATATTATCATCATAGATATTTCAGGGTCTTCCTAATTTACAGGGCGACATTTCCTCATCCATTAGCCATTAAATCTTGATGTGTGTCTAGGAAAATAATTATAGGTGTTCGCTAAATGCTTAGTTTGTCACCAGTTTTTATATGGAGAGAATAAGAAGGTGTTAAGATGTGATTATCACATATGTGAGGTGGCTGATATAGTGCCTTGTCTTAGTCCTTAATCTTGAACAGTGTCAAGACATTGTTGTAAGATGTGTGCCTTGTTACCTCCTTAATCTTGAAGTAAGTGTGTTCTTGGCAGTGTGAAGTGTGTTTGTAATGTGGTGATATGGGGAGTGGTGATGTTGAGAATGTTACCCAGAAACTGATGTTGGTGAAACTAACGTTTAGTTTCTGTGTAATCAGTGCTGTTTGGCATTCCTGTACTCATGAAAATTGCATGTTTGCTTGTTAAAACACATTTGAATTTGGTGTATCTGCATTGAACGCAGAAAACACTGAAAGACAACCTTTTTCATCAAACATTTTGAAATGAGGCAATTATGATAGCCAAAGCACTAAAAAAATCAGTGACATAGTAGATGTATAAGTACAGTTGATTGTGTACTTACACAATAGCAATAGTGTTGATGTTAACACTAGGCATACTGTTATTCTAGATGTTGAGTTTCATTCTAAATGTAAATCCAAGCAGTATACATAGTATACTATCGAGTTGTTATATTTACTGTATGTATGTAGGACATGTATGATTATGGTAGGTTGGTAAATACATACATTGGTTTAGCTTAAATCTTCCTGTAATCTTTTAACCCCTACAGCAGACTCTGCTGGCAGTGTTTTAATGTCACTGTTGTTTTTTTTTGCTGATTTTGTACTGTTTTCTAATTGGTATCTTGTTCTGATGGCAAAGGCATTGTATAGTTCAAAATTAGTTGCAAAATCAGCAAAAGATGACAATATCAAAGTGCTTACAGTAGAGTTAGTTTGTTATTCACTTTTTGTCCCATATTACATCATTTTGTTGCCATATCTATTGATAGAAACACATTGATATTGAAGTGATGAGTTATTTATGATAAGATGTAAGATCATTGATAGCCTAAGTGGTTACATGATGTGACTGTTAAGCTTGAGTTTCAGGTCTGTGTTCGTTTGTCTCATGTTGCGTTTCTTGCTCAGACATGCGGTACTATGGTGTGCGTCCCATGGAGGATGAGGTTGTGCTGGTGGTGTGCGAGCGTTGCGGCCAGGTGGTGAAACCCCAGGCTCTGCAGTACCACATAGGTAGGTACCTCCACTCTTACCTCCACTGTACCATCATGGAAGTCCATACCCAAGTCAATCCAGACAGTTCATAAAGCTGATGTTTCCATGGGTTATCACAGCCTACACAATATATAAATACACGTACATGTGTGGTACCTGCGCTGTTACTTTTAATGTTCCATCACCCCAGTTGCGTACAGTATACGGCATGAAGAACGTCTATTGAAACCTGGTCCATGTTGATGACAATGTACAAAACTGATATCAGGTTATTGTGATGCAGGTGTACATACATTGTGTTTGTGGTATGTTTATATACGGCACCTCCACTTTAACCTGTAGTTCAGTACTGGTGGTTCCCCATTGCAGTTGAATATCATTTATCTAACTAACATATGATATAATGTTTGATCATATCATAATGCCCAGAACATATTTGAAAAGATATTATATTGAAATGAAATTCAAGATTTATTTTGTATATCTATTTTGTAGTTTTTAGTTCACCTGCCAATTCAGTAGTCGCTGTGTACTTTGTTGCGTCAATAAAGCTTCATATAAAAAGTGTTGGATACTAAATTCTATTTTGCCAAATTGACATGCTTCAGCACAAGTGCCCAAACTTTTGGAAACATCAACTTCAGTCTGAAACCTGTGCCAAACTTTGGTTGCTCGGTACAGGAGGAAACCTGTATTTGTAACCTCAAACTAAAACGGTTTCGCACACAGACTGTATAATCTTTTATTTTGAGGACTTTTCCCCAAAACTAATCTGTCAGATGGACAAAAGGACACAAAGCTGCCCCCCTCGCCAACTGGCCCCTTGTCCCTGCTGTGTGGAGAACAATAGAGCCGAGGCCGAACACTGGCGCACACGAATTCTCCACTTTTTATCATAGCAGTGTTGTACCTGGTTTAACACTGGTCAACCCCTCTACTGTTTATCATGGCAGTGTTGTTCCTGCTTTACTTACTGTGTTGGAGGTACAAAACGTTAAGAACTTTATACAATGTATCTGTGATGCGCAGGTATTTCTTGTTGCGAGTGAATGTATGTAACTACATGTGCATGTAGTGTGAGTAATAGAAACTGCTGTGTGATACCAGAGGTAGTATGAACAGATAGTGGTTTTATTGGCTTGAAACCTCTGCTCTTCATTGTACTGAAGAAAATGTACTTACGTTTATGCTGCTTGAAAAAGCTACATGCAGTATAGTGGCAGTTTTTATGGCATTGTTGGCATCATGCCAGATGTAAGTAGTAGTACATGTCCTTTGTCACGTTTGTACCCAAGTGGACAGTTATAGACAGGTATGCTTATTGGATTGATAAGAATTATTCAAGAAAAACACATTGAGTACTCAGTAGTACTGGTGATTAAAAACTGGTGATTAGTTTCAGCAAAGAAGCCAGCTGAAAGAAGCTATGATGTGTCACTAAGTACCAGTCCTCCAGCTGGCTGAAGTGTTTGCATTTGGTGTGAGATGTAGATTGTGCTGGGGTTATGAACATAATAACTCTTTAATAATACTCACACTTCTATCGAGATTGTTACATGAAATTTGTGTACAGAGTGGCCAGTTAAACACATGCAGATCACTGGTGAAAGGCCTGATCTGACAATGATGAAAAGCAGAGGGAAGCAAGTTGGTTAATGAAGCATACAGAAGCATGCAAGGGGATGGTGATTATAGAAAATTTAGTCAGATTTTGTGATGAATCAGGGCATACTTATGTTGTAACAACCTTTCTGTTAAATACAGGCATCAGTGTTGACAAATACTTCAATAAGAATACAGATTTATGTACTATTTTGAAATGTAGCCATGCTGTTGATGATGATGATGATGATGATGATTGCATGCTTTGAAATGGGTCCTGTTTTGTATATTCAGCACTGTTATAAATTAGTATTCAATCTCTACAAAATCAGCTTGAAGAACGGAATTTTAACCCTTGTCCTGCTGGCAATTTTTACACAATATTTTCAAATAATTTCATGTCTTAATCAGGTCACAGACCCTTGACTTTTTTTGGCCCGCGGTGGCGTAGTTACTTCCGCATTCGTTGCGTTTCGCTGCGGTGTGATGCGTTGCACGAGAAACACCCCCAAATCGTACATATACAGGGCACTATATAGATGGTACTGTATGTGCAACCCATATATACATGGGCTCCGCAGGACAAGGGTTAATACATATTGGTATTAAAGATCAAAAGTATATGATTGTAAAGCATACATACCAGATGATGATGATGCATACCTATTGTTATCAAATAAAGCTGTTATGCAGTTGTGATTTTAGGCAAGTATAAGAAAATTTGAAGAAAATTAAGAAATGTGCAAGAACACCTGTTAGTCCTGTTAAAGTGGTACATGTTTATATACGTGTACATGTAACCCTAAACTTGACATAAGCAACAGTCATCAACTTCTATTCATCATTTCCTGAAACATCTTTCAAGACATCAATACATTCTATAATCCAGAAACAAGTCCTGCATGTCTGGAGTGTGCATATGTAACCTGGAGTGATTTCTAGGATTGTATAACTTGGTGTCACCTGAAATATAAAGTATAAAAACTGTTAGATATGATATGGACCAGACCACTAACAGTGCAGGGGGGACATCTGATATGTGCTTAGTTCGTTGACCCTTCTTGAATCCATCACCATCCAAATTACGACCCCAAATCAGGGACAGGTTTGGCAAACTTTATTTCAAACTACATGTATTAACAAAATCTAAAATTCTACAGTATCAGAAATATCCTTGTATTGTAAACAATATTATGTAAATAACTATGTTATTAGTCTGTAGAGTACAGAGATAGATTGTGATGTTTAGTGATGTAGAGCAGTTGTAAATGTTTGACCTATTTATGATGTAGTCAAAGAAGCATTACACGTATCATATTACTGTAAGCTGTTATGTGGTTCAGACTGGTACTTCCAGGGTTTAGAAATGCTGGTAAAGTAGCAAATGTTTAAATGTATATGTGCGGTATTAGAGAGAGAAATAGACATTTTCAAAGTTCAGGTAGCTTTTGAAACTTTACTAGTGACAAGTTAAAATTTTAAGGTAGTGAGTGCAATTTAGACATGGCACTGTTCCTAAAACAGTGGTACAGGAATGACTACTGTATTGTGTCTTGTATGTCAGTGTGACATGTTGCAATAAGTACTAAATTCTAATAATAGTGCCTCCAACACAGTATATCTAGCACACAGCCAGGAGCCTGTCACAGTATGTTTAAGTGACTGTCTGTCACCTTCCTCAGGGCAATACTGACTGTTTCTACTCCCATGATGAGGGGGATAAAACTTAGTCATGTTTGGAACCACATTCTTTATACTGCAGCAGCACCACAGCCACCTAGCTGCAATGTGAAGTAGAAACAGTCAGTGTTGCCTTGAGGAAGGTGACAGAAGGTCGACAAAATGTTGGCCAGATATAAAGACTTGGTTGTGTACATGGAACAATAATTTACCAACCTGATGAAACTATACCTGGCTGTTTGCACCTTACAGGTGATTAAAGGTTGATCTGTAACATGTATGCACCTTGTTCCAGGTGAGAAAAGGTAGGTCCCACTAACCCTGATTTTCCAGTACTGACAACAGGATAGGTCTCTATGGCGACATCACAGTCTCCATGACAAGAGCACAGTCTCCATGACAAGAGCACATTCTCCATGACAACAGCAGTCTCCATGAGGATACAGAAAATGGGATGTTTCTACTGCAAGGGATATCTCTGGGGATTCATGATAGTATAATATGTCACTTAGCGTACTTACATGTTACTGGAAATGGTTGCTGTCTGTCAGTTGTGCACTTTCCAATGTAGTTGATGTAGTTACCAGCTGCAGAATCATAATAGAATTCATTGCCCAATAGTTGACGTGTGTAATTTCTCAGTTCTGTGACATGATGAAAAGTTTACTGTGGGATGACATTCATGACATCATGTCCAAATGACATGTTGGATACCAGACACCATTCAGTATTGATCTTCCAGTTTGAGGATTTGACTCCATGTTACACCTTTATCAACACTTGGACCAGGGACAAGTGTCTGTATGCCGTACCGGTAGTTGTCACAGAAGTATTATTTACTGAATACCAGTCAAAATCATTTAGAAAATGTAATTTTTCACATCAGTATTACAAGCTTTAAGCTTGCTAACAGTATGTAACGCAATAGCAAGAAAAAGTAGTTATGACAGGTGTATAGAACAAAGACCTTACGAGTCAGCCTACCAGTGCAATTATGTTGACAAACTCCATTCAGATTCATGCCTGCGCCCCCCTCCCACTGAGTCTGTACAGAACATGGAAGGCTTTACCATGTGAGAACCTGATCCAGGCAAGAGTTGGTTTACTTCAGTCTGGAAAACTCTGGATATGACAGCATGTCTGGGTGTTTGGGGTGTTATAGGGTGGATACAGGCATGTTTAATGGCACAATTATAGGTCAGGGGGTTGGATGTTTCCTTGTCAAACTTTGCCCGGACATGTTAACAATTATAGCAACGTGTTGGACGTCTTTCAGCTGGGATGGACAAATATTTTTTTAGTCTCTATTGTTCTAATAGTTTATGTAACGGTTTTATCTGTATTGCAGGATGTCTGTTAAAAGTTGGCTCATTGCCAAACCATGGTCTCCTACTGGAGTTTTTCCTGCTTGTGTCATAGGTCATGGTCCATCTAGAGGTCAAAAGTCACTTCCTATATATATCTGGAACAATCTGATAGAATTGCATAATATGGTAGATGAGAAATGAAGATGATGAGGAAATGAGGGTTCGTTACATACTTTGAGGTATCCATGTTTGTCTTTAATGTCTTTTTGCAACATTAATCCACATGAATGTATCCTGGTTCTTACAGGTTTGATAGACAGCAAGGTCGTCAATTCTGTAGTCTTTGTGCTGGTTCTACTGTTAAAGACCTCTTCTACTTACGTTTGAAGTCAAAGTTGGTTGTTAAGAATGCTAGGTATAACAGGCATT